GGGCGGGTCAGAAGAGGTCTGCCACGCCATGTGGTCACCTCCGGGGCAGGTGGGATCTAACTCATGCAGAAGTGGCTTAAGCTTCTTTGTGCTGTGCTTTAACCCGCTGCGCCACCAGGGAGGGCCCTTGTTATATGTTTTACTGTTTTCTTTCCCATCTGACAATATCAATTATTTAGGGTTTTCCTTTTTTCTTCTCATGAGGTTGTTTTACTTCTACTTACATATTATGTTAGTTAGCAAAATTAAGTACTAACTGTGCAAACTTATGCTAATTTTTTTTAACCAGGAAGACTTTACGAACTTGGGTGCGTGCAAATGCCTGGTTCACTTATGCGATCTTGTAAGTACTAGTGGATTTAATAAGAAGTGATTTTTTTACTGGTTATTGACTAAATTCCTTTAACTATTAAAATTTAGGTAAAGGCAGAACATCTTTCAAATGAAAAAATTACAGCAAGCAAAATGAAAATAAGCAAATTAATGGCCATCAGGAGCTTCTAGCTATACCACTGACTATACACCATATTTTCCCAAACCACTGATCTATCTTTGGTCACTTAGGTTATTTGTTTAACTTGGATGTTGTAAATAGTGCTGCAATGCACACTGGAATGCAAATATCCCTTCCAATTAGTATATTCGTATTAGTAGATACCTAGGAATGGAGTTGCTGGGTCATGTGGTAGATAAATTTTTAATGTTTTGAGAAACATCCACACTGTTCTCCATAGCAGCTGGACAGTCTCCATTCCCACCCACTGTGTACTGGGGGCTCCTTTATTTCCACCTCCATAGCAATATTTGCTGTTTTTGGTCTTTCTGACTCAAAACAAATTTTTTTTAAAAACGAACCCATAAGCTATGTCTATAGATGACGATAAGAAGAGTTTTAAAAGTATTTGAAAAAGAAAACAGTAGTAATGTTTTTATATTAATAAATACTTAGTAAGTACAAAGAGCAATACATGAAGTTCATCATTTACCTATAATACTATTATAGGTATAAGGTATTATATGATATAGTCACTGGAAGCAAATAACACATGGTTTTAAATTATTCTCAGGCCAGCATTTTTTGTTGTACTTATTATACTTGCTTGCTGTGGGAAACTCCGCCGTCAGGTACCTGCGAATTACATTCTCCTGGGATTATTTGTAAGTATATCTTGCCTAGTACCCGTTGTTGTTCAACTCTGAAGTGTATTTCAAAAGGAAATATTTTATTCCTTTTATTGTGGATAATCTTCTGTGGAACACTCAGATGTTATTTTTGACAGATTCTCTTGGTTGACTTCCGGTTGTAAAGAAGTTTACTTGTGAGGTAGTATCCATGCTCTTTTAACTTCTTTGATTTATATCTCCTGGTTCCATATGAGATTCAGGTAGCTATACATACATACATATATATATATATATATATAAAACACAGTCTAAGTAGGTAATATAAACCAATGAGGACCTTTGATTGAAGGGAAGAAATGGAAAGTCAGTGATTAGGTAAGTGCACAAAACCTGTGTACTGGAGTGTGGTAAGTCTACATTTGGACCTGCGCCTCCTGGTGGTGAAAACAAGCAGACACATGGCCAGTGGTAACAGTCTCAGCATCCCTTGCTTGCAGTGTCCAGTGTGATTTCAATGTTGGGAAAAATATCTCCCTCTCAAGGCTGAAGATGCCTACATTTAGGAATTTCTTCAGTATCAGAGCATTTTGGGACCTTTCTTAGCTGGTTTTAATACCTGTCCATTGCCCAAGTAAGCAAGTTGAGTGAGCAGGTGGGCTCTTAATTCCTGCCTTGGCAGAACCTACAATTCTCAAGGCAGGGTAGAGTTTAAAAGGCAGACATAGAAAGATATTGGGGGTCCTGGGGCAGAGGTGATGGTGTAGGGAATATTTTTTAGAAATTTTTTAGTTTTAAATTTACCAGTGGTTTTACTGTTTATTACAAGAAGAGATCAAAACTCTTGGACTTACATGAAACACTCTCTGAAATTCTGCTGATACTCCCAAAAAAGTTAGCTGCTTAAGAAATATTATAGAGAGTCAAATAGACTTAATGTCTTACTCAAGTGTTAGCAAATACAAGGAGAAAACTTTCAGAAAAGGAGAAAAGGCAGAGGGTGGAGAAAAACACACTGAAGACTGCTTTTATCTCATAGAATTTAGGTGCCCTGCATGTGTTATAAGCTCTTGAAGTCAGCAGGCAGGTTGGCCTTCTGAGGTCTCCTGTTACTCTTTAGGAAAGAGTAACATCTTGAAATCATTCCCTTTTCCATCATTGTCTCTCATTCTCTCTCTCTCACATGCGCGCGCACACATTCCTTTCGGTGCTGTTGAAGATAGAGAAATATGAAGCAAATGAGCAAGCACAAAGAGAAGTTAATCTTTAGAGGAAGGTTGAGAGCAAGCATATTGTGAAAAAAAATCATGTACACACAATGGAAAGAATCTACTTTGCTAAGTGTAATACAGTAGAGGATTTTGAGAAATTGAGAGAGGCAACTTAGTACTCTGGGAACTCCTATTCGTTATCAATATATAGTCAGTATATAGAGGCTACCAATATATAGTCTCCCATGCTATAGACGGTTGGCCAGATGGAGAAGTTCAAGTCCTTCCCACAATCCTTGCTATCTAATTAAATTGTGCCCTAAGTTTTACTCCTTGAAACAAAAGGTTTCTTTCCTGGCTTTTAACTGTACACCAGAGGGTCAGTGAGTCTGTGGATTTGCTTCTGACTCGGAGTCCTTCCAGCTGCAGAATGTCCTCAGGCCTTGCAGCAGCCACTGCTCACCAAGTCCCCATCTGGCTTGTCCACCATCCTGGAGCCTCACTGTGGGCTTGAGCAAATCCTCATTAGCTTTTTGGGTCTCATCCTCTGGTTCCACTGCCTGCTGGGTCTCCGCCTCTCTCCCACCCTGCCTAACCTTGGACAACTGGGTGCCCTAGTATATCCCAAGTAAAGGCCTCCGCCAAGTCCTGGGGGCACTGGCACCTCCAGAATCTGTGGGTTAGTGCCCTCTGGCCCCCTCTCCTGGTACTGAGGTTTCAATTTGCATCACATTTCAATGATTTGAAGTGTTTTATTCTTACCTAAGCACTGTGGAAAGGGACAGTAATGAAACTGTTGGTAAAATACTAATAGGAACAGTATATCCTGCCTGTGATGAAATGTTATGATTCTGTGTGGATGCCCCCATGCGATACCAATGTGGTCTACAAATTCATCTTTAACTTTGGATTCACATTCTGAATTAATACATGTTTCACTCACTAAATATGCTGAGAGTTACTTTTGTGTTCTAAGAAACTTTTAGTAATAAAAGGAATTCTCCTTGTCAGTCTTAGGGAGGATGTTATGTCACAGTTTACTATTCATTTCCCACAATCAGCCAGCTGCAGTTTAATGCAGTAGGTTGTGCTTATTCCCACTTGGCCGCCGGACCCTGCCAAAATGCACAGAACTCAAATTACCACCTCTGGATTCTGGGCTTAGGAGTCAGGCTTCTGATTTGCTGTGAATTTTGTTTTTAGACAGTGCTTCAAGGTATGCTGCTAGGAGCCATATCTGTGTAAGTATTTATACACATTCTCTTTTGGGGGGTGTGCTTTCCTTTGACGGTATGTGAACAATAATCACAATCTCTGGTTTCAGTTACTATGAGGCCAATGAAGTGCTGTGGGCAACAGCAGCAACAGCTCTGGTGACATTATTGCTCACTTTGTTTGCTCTTCAAACAAAAGTAAGTATCATTGAAAGGTTTCTATCACAGGGCAGTGTGGGGAGCTGTCCCTTTGCCCTTCCTGATCCTTTCTCCTTCCTCTTCTCTGCTGTGGCCTCAGATTCGTGGCCACCTTACATTCTCACTCCCCATGGGGTTGTGCCATTGAGGAGCTGGAGACCAGAGGGAGACAGGAGAGAGGTAGCAATACTTATTCATATGGCTTCCCCACAACAGGTCCCACTTGGGATAGCCATCTGTGTTTCTTAATCAGATTTGCTGCCTGTCTCAGGTATTCAACTCAACAGAAACTTTGGGGCTCCCTTTCCTCTTCCATTTGGGCCAAGGAACAGTGACAGTGTTCATACTTGTAGCTTAGTTTATGGCACTAAACTAAGACACCTGTAGAGAGTTCCTCTACATTACAAGTCTTCCCCTCATTGTTGTGTTTGAGTGTATCATTGGTTTCTTGTTGGGACCTTACATGATGCAGGGAATTTAAAAAAAAAAAAAAAGTTGCACTTTTCTTTTTTTTTTTTTAACCAGAGCTCAGATGTACAAAGATCCCTCAGAGAACATCATATAATTTTAGCTATGAGATAAGTCATAATCTCTGCAAAGATCAGGTGGATTTGCTGAGACATTTTTGGCACTCCTTTTCTTCAGTTCTGGCCACGTACATTTCTTTAGTAAATGAAGGACTCACTTTAGTCATTTTAGTAACTTACTCTGGAAGGAGTATGCTGTCTAAATTGGTTGGTATTCATCCTAAGAAAGGTATTATATAGAGGCAGAATGACAGCCTTTTCCTGGTGGAAAAAGGAAGTAGTATGAGAGACATAGAAAGATCTACTAGATAGCCAAATCTTAGCAAAATTAAAAAAAAACTTATCTACCCAGGCTAATTTTATCATTTATTTATAAGAGTAAACCTAAAGGCATTTAAGTAAATTTCAAAATTACAAAAGAATCAATAGTAGTTTTTGAAAGGCTGTTATACATACATTCTTAACAACAACAAAAAATACTACAAGTGTGAGAGATGTATCCAGTTAACATTGGTTTATTTCATTACTGTATTCTATATACTTTTAAACAGTTATGAACATATTATATATGCAAGTTTATATACTACCGATATACTTTTATTAGGGAATATTTATTAGGGAATACTTCATATAAATACAAAAATTGAATAGTATGTTGAACCTCCATGTATTGCTTACCCAGTTTCAAAATTTATTAATCCATTGTTCCTATTATTTCATCTACACTCGTACCCTTTTCTCCCTCTTGAAGAATCCTAAACAATATAGCTCCTTTTAGGTAGGATTTTTTCAGTAGTTGCTGATAATAAACCCTGGCCAATTCTAAGAACCATGGAAATCCATCAGAATCCACTGAAATAATTTCTGCCTATGGATTATAAGATACATCTCTCAGCATCTTGAAAATCAATATAGATGGTAATTTGAATTTTTTTTTTCCTGTTTATATTTCCTCAGTGGGATTTCACCTTGCTAAATGGAGCACTTTTCGTTTTACTCTGCGTACTTGTTATCTATGGAATTCTCTTACTCTTCATACAAACATATGTAAGTGGTATCTCATTTGGAAAACTCAAAGAATTATTAGAAATAAAGGATAAAGTGTTGGCTTATGCGAGTCTGCATAAGAATAAAACACTAAAATGGGTGAAATGTGCCAGGGCTTTCAGTGGGAAAAGCTCTGGGTAATGGGGCCTGGGGAAAGGGAGAAGCTGGCTGGAATAACTGGCTGACCAGGGTAGCATATCTGACACCTTAGAGAAGCTGGGGAAAGAAGGTTAGGTCAGGTGGGAGCAGGCTAGCTTTGGTGCTTAGGAAGGTTCAGCAAGGCTCTCAGAAGCCCATGAGCTGCTCCTGGTCAATGATGAGGAAGTGGAAACTTAACCCAGGAGCGAGCTGCAGTGAATGGCAGAGCACAGCTTGCCAGACCTCATGGTCAGTTACACCCCCTCCTGGTAGCATGAGGTCTGGGAGGCCTGCCACACTGGTGTGTTTGGGAGTAACTCAAAAGTTCCGGTGTGTTTGGGAGATGCCAACTGTCCTTCCCCCAGAAGACCGTGGGATGAATCTACCTGTGGGCCATGTCAGATTCCACCAAAAATGAGTGCTGCTTATCTGAAGAACTAAAGTGGAGAGGGGCTTGTTCTCACCTTTCCAACAGCAACCCATAGTGGGATCCTTATTTTTCAATTGAAACCCCTTCGTCTTCTTCTTTTTTAAAGATTTATTTATTTATACATACAAGAGCTAGAGTGCAGGACAGAGGTGGGGGAGAGGGGAAGGAATGAGAGGATTCTCTGGAGACAGAGTGCGGTACAGAACAGGTAGATCCATTGAAGTACACCACTGAGGGGAGCAGCTGGCAGGAAAGGTCTGCTGTACCTCTGCTCCCTGACTGGGGATTATACTCATGCGCTAGTGGTACTGACAGCCTGATAGTGTTGAGACTTAGCTCATTGTGCCAAAAGGGATGCCCCCTTTTTCTTTCCTCATCCTTCATTTTTAAATATGAATTGACCTCTTAATTGTATACCAGAGATAGTCCATGTTTTTCACATAAGCAGCACATTTAATTCTCACATTCCTGAAAATTATGTATCTTACATATTTTACAGATAAGAAAAGGCTCAGTGAAATAAACAATTCATCCAAGTTCACACAGGGTGTAAGTGGTAGGGGCGAGATCAAAGCCAGAATTGGGTCATTCCAGTGCCCATGCTCTTTCCACCACATGATACTATCCATGGACTAGGGCTGGAGGGGTTGTAGAAAGGCAGAGGTATAGCGTTCCCCATGATCTGTCTGCTCTCTGGAGGGAGACCCTCGGGAAGCCAGGTCCTCTGAGGACTGGTGGGAGTCCTGTGATCACATTGCTAACACCCTGAGGCCAAGTTGGCTTTATTGGATAGAGGAGTCTTTGGGAACAAGTAGACCTGTGAAATGATTTTCAGGCATGTAACCAAAAGTGCTGCCTGGATTGGTCTAGGTGTATGCATACTACATAGGTGTATAGCTTGGGAGGCAGTATTTATATATTAGAGATAAACTCAAAGACATCACAAAGATACACCACTGGTTAAAAGGTCTTAAAGGCCACAGGTGCTCTATTGTTATTGACAGTAGCACAGAAATTGATATTAATAATACAAATATTAAGTGGGTGCCATAGGTCTTAACCACATTACTTAAGTGCAGCTAAGACACTGTAGTTCCCACTCAACAGAAGAATCCTGGTTTCTTCTGGGGAAGAAGAGACAGGATTCATAGAAATGGGAACCTCACCTTTCTCTTCTGTGCTGAGTTGATTGGTGACCTCTGCTTGTGCAGCACCAGCTCCAGCACTAGCTACTGATAATAGCAAGCTTATGCTTAGATCCCTCATTCTGAGAATTTATTTCTGATTTGTCAGGTGCATCTCTATCTGACTCTTCTCAGATAGAAAGCTCTTGGCCACTCAAGACATTCACTGCTATTGAAGGGGGTGTTTTCTACCTCTCATCAACCAGCTCTAGTTGGCATGTATGAGGGTCACTATGTCACTAGAGTTCTCTATCTGTTGCAAGAGCTGAATTAGGCAGGTTCTCTAGACAGGCTATGTGGGTGGGGCAAAAAGTGAAACATATCTAGTACATTCTACTTGCCTACCATACATGAGGTGTTTAGCACTTACTTGATGCATATTATTTGTACATGCAAAGCTAGTTCTCACAAACACATTTGAACTTCCTTAATTTGGGTGCTTATCTAACTCAGTGACCTAACTAAAGTCTTTCATTGTTCCAAATCCTGTTCCAACTGTACACTTGTTTCTTTTTTCAGTGGTTGCACCTTATTTATGCTGGCCTTGGAACTGTGCTCTTCTCACTTGTAAGTTCATTTTTCCCTCTCTTTCACTAAGACTATGGTACACTGAAGAAGCCCCTAAGTCCATATGCTAGGCCTGGAGGCAAGTGGGATCAATAATTCACTGAAAAAGCACTCCAGACAACTTACTTCACCCCTTATCTTCCTGTTACCCCTTCCTTTTTCTTCTTTTTTTAATGAAGATAAATTTTTAGGTTCAAAATCAAACTGAGAGAAAGTTACAGAGATTTCCATGATGCCTCCTGACCCCACACATGCACGGGCATGGCCTCCTCCTCTATTCTCAACATCACTCACCAAGTGGTACATTTGCTACAACTGATGAACCTGCATTGACCAATCATAACCACCCAAATGCATTGTTCACTGTAGCTAACTTACATTGTATGACTGGCTAAATGTATAAGGACTGTTCCATTATAATATCATACTGAGTATTTTCATTATGCTGAAAGTCCTCTGATGACTGACCCCTCCCCCACTCCTAATTCCTGGCAACCACTGATCTATTTACTTTCCAAATTTTGTCTTTTCCAGAATGTCCTATAAGTTGTGATCATACAGTAGTCTGTTCAGATTGGCTTTCTTCACTTAATATACACTTAAGATTCTCTTATTTTTCATGGCTTGATAGCTAATTTCTTTTCTAGGTTGAATATTCTACTATCTGGAAGTATCAATTTGTTTACCCAGTCACTGCTGAAGGGCATCTTGTTTGCTCCCAAATTTTGGCAATTATGAATAAAGCATCTATAAACAACCTTATACAGGTTTTTGTGTGGACATAAGTTTTGAGCTCCACTAAGTATTTAAAGGAGCATGATTGATTGATCATGTTTAGTTTTAAAGAAAATGCCAGATTGTTCTCCAAAGTGGTTATACCAATTTGATTTCCACTAGCAATGAATGAATCTTCCTATTCACCCACATTCTTACTAGTATTTGGTGTGGTCAGTATTCCAGGTTTTAGCCATTTTAATAGGTATGCTATAGTAACTTGCTATTTTAACTTACATATCCTGTTATGGTGTAGAGCATCTTTTCATATGCTTGTCACTGGTATAGTAGCAGTTAATTTCTTTGACCCATTAAAAATAAAGATTGTTTGTTTTCTTCTTGTTGAGTTTTAAGATTTTTTTTTTGGTATATTTAGGGTAACATTCCTTTATCAGATGAGTCTTTTACAAAGATTTTCTCCCAGATTATTGTCTTTTAAATCTCTTGACACTGTCTTTCACAGAGCAGAATCTGCCTTTAATTTTAATGAGGGCTCAGTTTATTCATTATTTCTTTTATGGATCATCTCTTGAATGTCATATCTAAAAATTCATCATTGTTATAACCAATGTCATCTAGATTTTCTCCTGTAATATTGTCAGTTTATTTTAGAGTTTTGTGTTTTATTTGTAAGTCTATATCTAGAATCTATTTTGAGTTGATTTTTATGAAGAAAATAAGATCTGTGCCTTGATATTTTGCATGTGGATGTCCAGTTATTTTAGCACTGTTTGTTGAGAAGACTACCTTGGCTCCATTGTATTGCTTTGCTCCTTTGTTAGAGATCTGTTGACTATATTTATGTGGATTTACTTCTGATCTATATTATCTGACTACACTTATTAAAAAAACAAAAGGAATAAGTGTATGTGCCTCAATTCTGAAAGACTTCAAAAGACAGTTAGCAGTTCTATTCTGTTATATGGATCTGTTTGTGTTTTACCAACACCACACTATCGTGATACTATCATGGGAAGTTTTAAAATCCAGTAACACTGGTTTTCCACCTGAAATGGATATAATCCTAAAATGGATAATTTTACTTTAATTTTTTTACTTATATTTTTTGTTTTTCTACATTATTCTTCATTTTGTGCATTTTTTCATCTCAGTTGTAATCCCCATGTCACCCATGTGAATTCACCACATTTCACCATGTGAATTCACATTTCACCATGTGTAATCACCACAGTCAGTGCACTCTTCCCACCCCAGTTGTGATCCCATTCTCCTTTCCACCCCCATAAAACGTCTCTGGTTTATAGTTGTTCATGGTTTTCATAAAATGGCTCATTTTAAAGGCTCATGAAAACCCCAGTTCTCCATCATGTCACCAAAAAGAAGTGAAGGTGACTTGCTTTCTCTTCTTCCTATTGCACTCTCATTGCCAGGTCTGCTCACTTTGCAACACACACAAGTATGCGCTGGCTCTCTGACTTCTTGTTTTGATATTTTAGGAGTTCACAATTCTACCTATTTCAGCTAGTTAAAATGTTTATGTTTAGGGTTATTTAACCACCTGTCCATCCCTTCTTCTTCTTATTCTATTTTGGATATGCTGACATTATCACAAAACTACTCCAACGTCAAGATTTGAAAAATGCTATCACCCGAAGTGTCAAGAATTCAGAATTAGAGCTGTTTAAGATTCTAAATGAGAGGGACACATTTTAAAATTTTGTTCAGTGAGAACATGTACAAAAAAAAATCACAAATACAGGCATTTTGTAAATTCTCTGTTCAATCTGCCTACCTTGTCCACATCATTGACTACAGGCATAAAAATGTCTGGACTTGGACAAGCAACGGAAGGTTCACAGGCTTAGTTCCACCAGCTTCAGGAGGACAAAAGACTTGCTTTCATAGTGCACAAACTCAGGAACATGATGAGTAGTTGAGGCTGTAAGAATCACATAGACACTTACAAACTGACTTTCTGCAATGTACTTATTGACACTAAAATGTTTTCTGGATAATTTAGGATACTTATTTGATAAAAATGTTCCATTTTAAGTAGCTAATCCTTCTTTCTTTTCTTTAAGTACTTGGTGATGGATATACAGCTGATGGTGGGAGGGCGCCACCATCATTCTGACCTGAACCCTGAAGAGTACATTTTTGCTGCCCTGAACATCTACTTGGACATAATCAACCTTTTCCTTTTTATTTTGCAACTGATTGGACTAGGACGGTAGTTACATGGCCAAGACTGGCTCATGTTGAAGAGAGGGAGGGATGGAGGCCTGTGAAATATTAGCTCCAGTGATGTAGGGGTTACCTCGTGAGCCCTTTTATTGGAAAAAATATTTTAGAACTTATTTTGTGAATTGAAATCAAAAATTCAGTTAGTAGATGGTAGCTGTAGCTATGATAGTTTTAGTTCCATTGTAACTTTGCAAATACATTCTAAGGCACAATTCTGATTTTTACAAATTCAGAAGATGAGTACATAGTTACATACTTGCAAACATTTAGAAGATGCCCATTACTTTGTTGAGTTTTCCAGATCCTATATAAAGCTGTAAACATCTCTCTATATAAATAAAATTGATTACAGAAACCTATGTTTCCTTTTATTTCTCTTGATTTAGACATTCTGCAGGAATTTTGGCATCTAGTTTTTGAGTATAATAAACCAAAATATTCTGGGGTTTTCCCCCTGGACTCTGGAGCTAGATTAGTGAGAATAATAGTACCTGACTGGCAGGGCTTAGAGAATATTAATGGAATTAGTGTACAGAAAAGATTCAGGTGCTATTGTTACCATCTCACCTATATTCTGGGCTTACCTCAGAGACCATCCTCTGATTGGGAGAACTGGCTTCCATTGAAATTCTGTAATATTTAAAAATAATAGAAAACTGACTACCTTAACCTTTGTAAATATACAGATATGTAGTATTAAGTACATTATTGAGCTTGCAAGATTGAAACCCATACTCCCTTAACCATAACACTTTGCACTGACTTTATTTTATACATATCTTATAAAATAGGTTGATTTATTTCCTGAGGACCATAGACTGGCAGATCTTTGTATCACTTCTTGAGTCTCATATTTTGTTGGGGTGAGATGCTTGTTGAGAAAGGTTTTCAGAGAGAGATGTAAAAGCCCACTCAAATAGACCTATATGAACATCCTTACCTTACCTGTTTTGAATTAAGTGTTGGTCAGCCAGTCTCTGGTTCTTCTTCCAATAGAATATGTCATGCCTGCAGAATGAACAATGGCATGAAGCAGGTCCACTCCTGGTATCCTTCAGGTAGGCCAGGGGAAGGTGCTACAGAGAAAAAATTACGTGGGGAGATGGTTGCATGAGACAGTGAAAAACCTCGATTTTTAGGCTCAGGACTTTGGACTTGATCTTGTAGTTGGTCAACAGGTTTTGGTTGCCATATCATGGTGAAGGCATTGCTAAGGAAAATTTGTCTGGTCATGGTGGGTGAATTAGGATGGCTAAGTGAGAATTTAGGAAGAAAAATGCTATAAAGAATGATTCAATAACATACACCTTAAGGCACTCAAGGCTAGAATTAGGATGATAAATATGGCACAATACAAATGATCCAGATCATGGACAAAAGATATTCGTAGCAGTTGATGTCTGGATGGACCCAGCAAGGCAAGGAAATTTAGAATTTACCATGGGTAACTGTGATTTACTAAAGTGGACCTTCTTAAGAAATAAATGACTTGGGGAAGAATAAGGTGACAGACATAAGTTTAGGTATTTTGAATTATGTGGAAAAGGAAGTATCAACTTGGCAGTTTGGGAGCTGGAACTCAGAGCTAGAACTAAAGAAATGGGATCATTTAAATTCACAGTTAAATGAGAATTAGGGTGTGAGCTCAGATGAGTGTTAGGAATGAAGGGGGGAATGGAATGCCCAAAGACTGAATTCTAGTCATGCACATAACCAGGAAATGGAAAGAGAAAAGGCTGTGGTCAACATATAAAGAGAGAACATTATGGAGGCAGCAAAGACCTTCAGGAAGGTACTGGTGAAGTGTAGTTATCATTCACTTAGCGTTATAACATCCCAGGCCATTGAGAATATGTTGTATGATGTTTCAAGGCGAATAAAACTAAGAGCCAGCATAGCAGATTTGACAATGACCTATTCACTGAGATGGAGAGGCAGGAAATTGCCTCCATTCAGATGGAGGCAGGACTGGTTTTGTGGAACAAGAGGCTAGTCACTAAAACAAGTCTGGTTGTTTCAGTTCCAGAGGAGAATCAGCAGGGGTTGTCCTCCCTCCTTCTCTGCCTTCCCCCCAATTTTCAGGATAAAGGAAAGCCTGTGCATATTTAAAGGCAGAAGAAAAAGGAAGGTAAAACTTGGACAAATCAAATCGAGTAAGGATAAAAGGAAGGATAGCACTGGGTAGGACAAGCTTCCTTTTCTTCCAAAACTGGGAAGCAGTGGACTATCCAAGTGTGGCAGCCTCTTCTGAAATGAAGTTAAGGAACAGGGGCAGAGAGAACATGGAGTCTACAGAATCCCCTGCTGGGAAGAAAATCAGGGAGTAGCAGGCTTCCCTGGTGGCACAGTGGTTAAGTCTCAGCACTATGAAGCTGTCCGCAGCCACTGCAGCACTATTTGGTCCCCTGCCAGAGGGGTGACCCACATGGCACAGCAGACTTCTCCTGTCTCGCCCGCTGTTCTCCTTCATAGTATATTTCAGATCTGCCTGTTGTGCTCCCCACTTTGTGTCTGGTCAATCTGCTCACCCCCTATGTATGCATAAATAAATCTTAAAAAAAAAATCACAAGGTTAGTAAGATACCCTCACTTTTAGTACTTCTACCCCAGCTCTTGTATGCATAAATCAATAATCCTTAAAGAAAGAAAGGAAATTAGGGTTTAGGGCATGCAGAAGAGGTTTCATCTGGATGCCAGAGTCAGGCATAGAGCATTAGGGTACTCTTTCTTCCTTTGTCAAAACTATTGAATAGATGAATGAGCTTCTCAAATTTGCTACAATCAAGAACAAAATTAGGAAACTCAACCAACAAAGAATTACAAATCTGTGTTGATTTGGAATCAGGACAGAATAATTTTTTAATTATCAATCTGAAATGGAGCGATTGGCCAGAGATTTAGACTTACGCTAGTCTTTTGATCGCTTGGTAATACAAATTAGAATAAAATAAAAACAATCTGATTAGAAAATCAAGACTGTTGGGATAAAATGCTTACTGGGGAGGAAAGGTGATTTTTTCCCATGAGGTTGGTCTTGGTTTTCAAGAGATCTGAAGTTAATCCTACAGTTGTCTTAATGTAGAATGGTAATTAATCCTGACTGGGCAAAACAATTCCCTCTAATCTAATCTCTGCTCTCTTCTGGGACCCGACATTTGTTATAGCCTTTCCACAGTTCTTTTCTAATCTAGTAATTGCTTTAGAATGTTTTTGTCATTTTCTTGGTTTCCCAAAGAAAACTAGCCAGTAGAGGGAAATTTTGAGTGAACTGAACCTTCAAAGTGCAATTCTAAAATTCTTTAGAGTTGATGGTAAGTCTTTAAAGTTATTACAAGTTCAGGGCCTTCCCTGGTGGCTCAGCGGGTTAAAGCACTGCACTAAGAAGCTTAAGCCACTTCTTCATGAGTTCAATTCCCGCCTGGCCCCGAGGAGATCCACATGGCGAGGCAGACCTCTCCTGACCCACCCGCTGCTCCCCTCAGCAGTGTACTTTGTCGATCTGCCTGTTCTGCTCCCTGTTCTGTCTGGTGAATCCTCTCACCCACCCCATCTCTGGCTTGTACCCCAGTTCTGTATGAGTAAATAAATAAAATCTCTAAAAAAAAAAATATTACAAGTTCAGGCCATGAACAGATGCAGCCTGAGAGGTGCCTAGGAGGTAACAGGGAAATTGAGGTCAGTAATAAGCTCTGGAATTTGAAGACATTGAAAAGATGTGACTCTATTCCCCTAACTAGAAAGAAAGATGGGAATATTCAGGTGTGGCAACCTTTTTTAAAAATGAATTTAAGGAAAATAAGCAGAAGAGGACAGGGAGTGAAAATTTTGTTTTAAATAGGGATGGAAACAAATTAGTGGTTACCGAAACTTAGGGGTGGTGGAGGGCAGTGTGTGTGTGTGTTTATAAAAAGGTGGCACAAAGACAGTTTCTATAGTCAGGTTTCTAGGAATGTTTTTATTGGTACAGTTTTGTATGTTTCTTTGTTTTATCAAACTACCACCATGATCCCCCCCACCCCTCTTGGGCAATATAGAGACTATAACCTGAATTCATAGATTCTTTTGTTTTCTTTCTCCAGAAAAGTTCTCCCCCAGACTAGACATCTCAAACTTAGGTGTGGGTAACTAGATTAATGTGTTATTAGGAATTCCCTTTTGTAAAAGTGATTGCTTTTTAAAATTTTTTTAGATTTATGTTTTTATGGATACAGAACTGGGGCACAGGTCAGAGGTTGCGTGGTGGTTGGTGGTTGTGTGGGGAGAGGATTCTCCAGAGACAGAGCAGGGAACAGAACAAACTGACTGAAACACATCACTGAGGGAAGGAGCAGGAAGACAGGAGAGGTCTGCTGTGCCATGTGGGTCAGCTCCCTGGCTTGGGATTGAACCCTTGCTGCAGTGGTTGTGGGACAGCCTCATAGAGCCACGCTTCAATGTGCTGTACCACCAGGGAGGGCCCGTGAATGCTTTTTGAGGTTGAGGGCAATTTGAAAGAGAGCAGAGACACTTGACTCAGCAAATCCCAGGATTTATTAGGGGTCTAGGGTTAAAAAAAAAAAAAATTAAAAAGTTTATTTCAGTAAAAAAAAAATAGTGAACATCAAAAAAAAAAATAACCAAATGTTGGCAATGTCAGTATCTTTGCTTAAAGTCCTCAAAACAGATGAATCAAGTACTGATATCTCTCCAATGGTTCCCAAGTGATAGCAATATTGACTGTTTATATTGTATTAATATTTAATTGATTATTGCTCTAAAGAAAGGATCGCAAACATAGCCAACATGCCAAATGTGGCCTTTTCTTTTTTTAAGTTTTTATTTGGAATAAATATAGATTCGCAGGAAGTGCAAAGATAATACACAGACCTTGTGTACACGTTCTCCAGATCTTCCATTCATTATTCCTTACATAATTCACAATATCAAAACCAGGGAATGACATTTGTATATAAATTTACGTATAGTCCTATGTGATTTTTATCACGTTAAGTTTTATATAGCCACCATTGCAGGCAAGATCGGCTATTTAATTACCACAAACTGTCCCTTGTGCTACCCTTTTACACACACACAGACACACAGACACACACACACACTGCTCCCCACCATCTCTAAATTCTGGGAACCACTAATTTATTTCCATCATTATTATTTCCCCCAAAAGTGCTGTATAAATGGAAACATACAGAAGACATTTTGAGATTGGCCTTTTAAATACTGCATAATGCTTTAAATGCATTACTTTTTAAAGTGATTAAAAGGTAACAACTGTTTGTTCTCTTATTCCTGAGTGTAGGATTCCATTGCACAGATATACCAGTTAACCATTCATCATTTATAGGACATTTTGGTGGATCCACGCTTTTGGCTGTTAATAAAGCTGCTAGAACAATTTTATGTATATTTTCAAGCAGACATAAGTTTTCACTCCTCCATGACAAATATCCAGGACAGTGAGTGCTGGATCATGATTAATTTTTTAAAAAATTACCTATGACTCCTAGCAAACTACCATCTTAACATCTCCACCAGTAAGGTATGAATACTGATCAAGTTGCTCTGTATTCTTGCCAGCACATGGCATAGACACTATTTTAAAAGTCATTCAGGAAGTACATATTATTTTGATTTATAAGTCATATTTTCCCTAATGGATAGTGATGATGAATGCATTTTCATGTGCTTCTTAGTCATATCTTTTCTTCAATGAACTGTCTCTTTTTTCCTATTATATGTGGTTTGCTGAGGCTATTTTTAGAATTTGTTCTAGATGTGGTTCACAAATATTTTCTCCCAGTAGCTTGTCTTCTTATTTTCTTCACAAAGCTTTTTTCAGTTTTAAATTCTGCTGTCCAATTTGTCAATTTTTTTTGTTACCAAGTCTATAAGAATTATTCACTTAACCTAAATTATGAGGACTATTACTTTCCTAAAAGTTTAGATCTTCTATTATATGATCGTTTACAATTAAGTTTCATTTAAAGTGTGAGGTATGAACAGAAACTCTGTTTTACCTTATAACCAATTGTTCCAACACCACCTGTTGCAGACTGTCTTCCTCTATTGCATTGGTTTTGCACTTTTGTTAAAACCCTTAGATATTTTTGGGGTTAGTTTTGATTTTCTATTCTATCAATCCATATGCCTGTCTCCTCTATAACAATCACATAGACTTGTTAACTGTAGTCTTGAACTTTGGTAGACTGCTTCCCCCCACTTCTTTTTCAAAATTGCTTTAACTGTATTAGCTAAATTCTTTTGCTTTTCCATGCATATTTAAAAATATGTATTCACTGCTACAAGATCTTGCTGGGATTTGGTAGACATTGCTTTTATCTCTAAGCCCACGGCTTCTGTGCACTAAGACCTCCACTAAGTCAGTGATTACTCAGACAGTGGGACTGAGCAAAAATTAGCCCCCGGAAGGGCAGCTACTCATTTTTCATATAAAATTGAGATTTACTGCAATGACAGGGCTAGCTAGACTCTTAAATATAACATTTCTGTTTGACTTGCAAAGTCTTTGGGCCCTTGTTAATTCTTCAGTTCTAGCTGACCCACCCCAAGGTGAAGATTTCATATCTGTTGAGTCCAAGGCCTCCAGGAGTCAAGACATTCAGTTGCAATAGTTACAGGTTAATAGTTGGCCTTCTCCAAAATGGATGTACTTGGTGTTTGAGGCAGGTAGCAAAGCTGAGCAGGAAAATGGCTAGGTACTCTGCTACCTATAAGTCTTTAAGGAGTGATTTCACTTTCTTTCTTTGGGGTTTCTTATTGTTCCTGTTGGACCACTGGAAAGAGGGTGGGGAGGCAGGTTGGGGAGAAATTTACATTTCCACTATCATTGCTTTGCATCAAGCATCCCTGAATGGAGAACACCTACTGAGAGATCATGAGACATGGATCGTAGAGGCATATAACCTATCCATTATAGTAGATATGCAGGCTTGAAAGTTACATTAGACACTACAGCCACCTGCAGACAGGGCTCCTTTTTCTGCTACTGAATGACTTGCTCCCAACTGAGTATTCTATATATTTAAGTCAGGAGCTACAAAGCAGATGACAAATCTGGAAATCAGAGTTATAACAATGACCTAGTCTGTTTTTGTTTTAGGCCAGGACTTTGCATTCTTTTTTGTATTTAATCAGTGCTGGACTGCTTGTAGTTCAACCAAATGAACTTCTAATATTTTTGGAAACCTTTTCTCTCCTTCTATTCCTTGCCTATCTCCTTGGATGAGAGCTTTCATTCCAAGGTAGATGCGAGGATAGCTTATATTCTCAAATTTAGTCCATCATTCTTCTTCTAGAAAATCATGTCTCTGTATTCTTGTTGAAACTGTCAGGTTAGGCATTTGATTTTACCCAACTTACAAACTAGTAAATTAGACTGTCACAGTTTCATGGATGCTGACAGAAAACCAAAAACTTGTTGGTCAGAGGCAAGGCAAGAGACTTCATCATTCCTGGCCCAATACAGAGAGCAAACATCGATATATTTATGTTAGCTCACCTTGTTCAACAGGGCAGTGGATGGACACTGGCAAGCATGCAGAGGATTTGTGATGAAACTGAGGAATACACTGAGTGTGAGGAATCTAGTGTGCGTATGGCAAGGTTGCTCCTTGCCCACAGGTTACTAGCAACATAAATCCTGAGACATGGCCCTGGCAAAACAGTTGTCAGGTTTTGGCACACCCAGCAAGATGTGTAGATACATAAGAGGCTCAAGAGAACTGTACTGCCTGGTCTGACAATTTTCCTTTTTTATATTATATTTTGACTATTCTCTCATATACTTACTTTTCATACTTTAAACATAATTTAATATTGATTTAAAAATGTCTACTTCTTATAATATTAGAAATTTATCCTGGCATTATCAATTGTTGAATTGCTAGCTTTTATTTTTTGTATTCCTTACAGTTTAATCGTTTTCTTCTACCAACATCTCTTATCCTCATGTCCCTTTCCCTCCCTGCACCTCCTAGTACCACAGTGTTTATTATACCCACTGGTTCTTTAAACTGCATTTAAAGAAATAATATGGCATGTGGACATTGTTACTTGAGTTTCAGATCTGCAAAATAAAAGGCAGTAATAAATAAAAGACTTTAAGTGGTTGTCCCTGCCAGGCCCTATGAGGTTGGTGGCCTAGAACTTATGTATGTACAATGAAGTTCAGATGCCACTCAGAAAAGAAATAATAAAAAAATGATGTGGAAACTGGCATTTCTATTCATATGGCATTAAAAAATCCTGCCCTCAGCAATTTCACCAAGTATCTTAAAGTTCTTTTTCTGTGTTTCCGTTAGAGATTTCAAAGAAACATCCTAACAATTTTCTCCTGAAAGTGACAATGGTGAAAAGAAAATAAGCACTGAAGTCACAATATTTTAACACATGGTCAGATAGTGTCTTGGGGTTCAACTTTATGGCAGAAAATGCTTAGTAAATGAGCTAGGGTAAAAATAATATTAGGCCCTAATCAATTAACATGTAAAGAACAAATTAATCTCATCATATTGGAGGGAATTTAATTTGAAGAAAATCAACTTCCTGACTTGTTAAAACAAAGTCTATAATGTAACGAGACAAAATGAAGTAGTTTAAGTAATAAATGTTTAATCAAAGAATTTTACATATTATTAACAGCATTCATTTGGCCGAACATCTACATGTTGTAGAATCCTACTGTATATAAAGTGGGAATGTATCAAGTATAGACTATGAAAGTGCAAATAACAAGTCAAGGTTAGAGTAATTTTTTTTTACATTATAAAATTAACTTGTTTACAAAATAGGTTTTGCCAAACTTTATTTCTGAATTGTAAAGTCAATGACTGTGTTGTTTTTAAAATATGTACCAAGGAAATACAAATTGGATAATGATCGTTTTTTCATGCTCGGGAAGAACAGCACAGAAACAAAGGGAGCTGCACAAGGCGCACGGAACCAGACCCGCAGGAGTCTCCACACAGCACTCGTCTCACCTGACTGCAGCTTTGCAGGACACCTCAATGTGATACAAAGACTCTTCTATTGAAAAATTACAGCTGGGTCTAAAAACTGATTGGTGTTGGTATTTTTAATCCAAAATAAATTTGTAAAAAAATCCTTTAATGGACCATTTCAGTTTAATATACAGTAATACACTGCAGATAAAGTTAGTATTTTCCCCAATCAACGTTAATAGGGATTGATATCTATGTTTCTGACAACTGGGGAAACAAAAACTATTATGGACCTTTGCTATCCATAGCATAGGAGCAATTCTCACATAGTCTATCCTAAAGGGACTTTGATAATATTACATACTCTATTAGAATGTCCTACCCATATGAATTTGAAGTACAAGAATTTTTCAAAAGCAGGGGTTGAAAACCAAAAATAACATAAAACCGTAATCACAGCTCACCTGGATAGCAACATTAATATAATCTTTTATCCAGCCCAGGACTTGCCTGTACAAACTCAGTAGTGAAATTTTGGTATCTGAAGATTTCTGGTAAGAATCTGGCAAAACATTAAATGGAGTGTTGCATATCTATTTTGCCTATGTTATGCTAGTTTTGATACTATGTAAGTAAAACAGCCATTCCAACAACTTACTTTACTTTTAATTACACACTGTACCATTGCATCTTAATTACAACTAAGACCAATATTTTCTTCACAGTTAAGACACTGATAACTAGGAAGTTGATTTTTTTCAACACTAAACAGTAATCACATAGCAAATGAGTATTGTGCAATAGAACAAACACATGTCAGCATTTGCTATTTAGGCAAACTGATTGAACATTTAGTTGTTATATTTACTGTAAAGGCAAGGCCATGGGTGGTTTTATGGAGGTCTTTGCAATTCATAGCATAGTTACTTCAGAAGAGACATTGATATTTGAATTACTCACTTATTAAACTGGCAACTATCCATTTAGGTTAGGCAAAGGCACGGTAACATGTTGCGCAGGATGTTTGATTGAATTTTTAATAATCGTGGGATTTACTATAACTCATGAAAACTCCACTTTTTTCTATTTTATAAAACACTTACCATTAAAAGTAATTGCACCCATTAGTAATTAGAATGCACTGTAAAATTGTGAAAACAAAGAACTATGATTGCACTTCCAATAAAGTGTCTCTTAAAATACAGCACCGCTGTTGCTAATCAACTGTATTTTAATATTAAAATAAACTGTTTTTAACAGCAGCATTAGGTTTAGTTAACTTAAGCTACAGGCTACATTTATTTAAATGCAGTCTCCATGGCAACAAAAGCCCATTAAATTCTGGAATATCTGTTACCAAGTGGCACCTTTTACTCCCAAGAACGCTGAAACTTCTCTGGAGCCTTCTAGGACACCGCACACCTAAACGCCTTCTTAGCGCACGAGTCAGAGTTTGGCACAAGTGGACTGTAAATAAACATGAAGAGAGATCTTTGATTCATGAGAAAATTAAAACTAATTACACTGTGGCAGATGTAACTACTAAAGAGAAGCCTTGATAGGTAAATTCACAAAGCTCAGACAAAAAGGACCAAAGTTATGGAAGAGCACAAAAAGATGGAGGAAATGCCATTAGATCTACTCAAAATACTTCTAAAATGAAGAAAACTTTTTTTTTCTTTCAAAGGAAAAGCCACCCAAGGATTAGGGAGTAAGCCTTTAATTTAAACGTCTAACTTAAGTATCACAGACCTTAGGATAGAGGACTGTGTTTTTGTAGACTGTGGAATCTAACCTGTTTATTCCATTTGCTTCTCTCTCACTCTCCCATTCTTGTTTTTGTCAGCAAAAAGTGGAAAAGCTATCCAATTAAATACAAAAGAAATTTCCGATAAAATTAAAATTAATAAATGAAGCTACCAATCAAGGGAACTCCTTCATATTCAATCCTAATGTCAGTGATTTATAATTGAGTTGGAATTAAGTAGGCTGAGTCTTTATACTCCACTCTATACATACTCCACTAGTATGCCATCTGTACCTGTGATTCATTCAGAGCCCAGACGTGTGCAGATCACACTAAATGTACTTGTTCAAGCCAGTCACTTGAGGTTTGAGGTGGTTGACTTGAAACATCTGAGCTATCCCCCTTGTTGGCTGCCTCATTACCACTATCACCAGCTTGAGAGGCTGCTTCCCCAGTCAGAATATTCATGTCCAAAGGATTTTCCTCTTCTACTTGGGTTCCTCTACCTTCACTGACAACAGCGTCCTCAAACATTGAATCTTCTGGGGGTACCAGTTCTACATCCCTCGCACTTTCTGACCCATCTTTGACACAGGGGAGCTGGGACTCTGCAGTGAATTCTGTAGTGGCCGGAGGAATCAGGGCAATGCTCTGAGGGTTCATGTCATGAAACCAAGCCATGATATTGCCAAGAAGATTGTCACTGATGTTGGTGTCCTGGTCAGCTGAGTCAGGGTCACTTGAAGATGGGAAGAATTCACTTCTTGCCTCACTGAGAGGGTGTGAACTCAGTGTGTCAGCTGAAAATGGGTCATTCTCTGCTCCTAGTCTCATGAGACTGTCACCAAGTTCCAACAGCTCAGAGCTGCTCAATGCGGCCCGAGGGCTATCTGTGCTCCTGGGGACTGAGTCCAGTCTGGAAGGTAAAGATGTGCCAATTGCTCCTAAGGATGCTTCATTACTGAAGAAGTCTCTATTTTCTTCATCCATAGCCAGGCCAGACTCTTGCAGTGACAACTGTATTGCAAGAAGTATATTGGGATCATCCTCATCCAAGGAACTGAGAGCCTAAATAAAGCAACAGAAAGTAAAGCACTTTGAAAATAAAAAAAGAAAATGACTTAACCCCATAAAGTTTTACCAGTGCTCTTTTACTGAACGAATATTACCTCTACTGTCACCTATAATACTCTAACCTTATTGCATTTTCTCCTTTGCCATGCTTAAGACAAACCTTAAACACAAAAATTATTCCCTGTAGTACATCTCTGAAACAAAGATTTTAGAACAGAAGGAAGAAAAAAAAAAAAAAACAATAAAGTTGAAAACAGGAAACTAACCAAAACAGTGAAAGAAAAGCAGGGCATGCGGTTGCCCAGGAAGGCTACCTGAAGAGAGTCCTGGTTCTCAGAGTGACTGGCAGGGGTGAAGTCGCGCAGGGAAGAGCTGTGCAGCACACTCATAGATGCAGAACTTACCACAGAAGCGCCAGGCCTGCGGCTGCTGCCACCATCTGGAATATCTGTTTCAAAAACAGTTTGGACATAGGCGATTTCAGGCATCTTTTTATTTAAAATGGTGATTTTTCTTTCAGTATTAGTGAAAACCAATGTTCCCTCACTTAACCTTTTAGAGATTCTCATCCATTCTTGTTTCATCATAAGCTACAATATATATCTAATACTGTTACTTAAAGTTTATGATTGTGCTTTACTTTTTTAAAAGAGAGAATCAGTAAGTGTTTGTCAATTCGAGAAAGGGAGAGACACTAAGAAGACAACTTGACATGTGGAAATGCCTTTACATGTTACAAACATGCGGAGTAAGGTATAAGCACTCTCTAATAATAAAAGTTATTTCTATTGAATTTAAAATATAATAATGGCAAGTACAAAATGCATGAGTTCACGTTCCAATTAATAGAGAACATTTATCTGGCATTTGCAATGCTTCAAAAAAAATTTTTTTTAACTTTTACTTTATTTAAACTGTAGCTTTATTGTTTCCCACCTCTATCCTTCCCATCCCCCTGTCCTTTTCTCCTTCTCCCACTTCTCGTGTCCTCAGAACCTTCACTTCCTTACTATTACTGTCCAACTGCTTTACATTTCTGCTTGTACTATTCATAAGTGAAAGTGCTACCATCCATTCTTCTTTTTATTTTTAATTAAGGATTTAGTTTTCAGGGTTCCTAACCATAAGCGTTTGGGAATTACAATGAACCGAAGAGCAATTATTTGGTCTGTTGTTTAGATTTATTAAAGATGATCTGCTGATACTGTAATAAGAAGATTCCTAATTAACAATTTAACATTTAAATGTTGATAATTAAGAAATTTGTCTCTAATACCTGAAATGTTTTTTTTTAAGGAATGTTTATTTATAGATGAACTGAGAGAGGAGAAAAATTTTCCACGAATACAATAGCAGTAGTCATTAACTATAATTTATTGAGTACTTACAAGTACGTACTAGGTCCTATAGTGTTTAAGTGTTTTACATGCATTATCTCAGTTAATGCTCAAGATGACAACAAAGTGGTACTATCATTTTTGCTTCTTTAAAATGCGGAGACAGAATTTTGAATATGTGACGTGACTTGACTCAAGTTTCATGCTGATACTCAGCAGAGATGGGTTCATGAACCCAGGTCCAACTACACCGCCTATGTTCTTCTCCTTTCTGGTTTTCCATATATTGTGACATTTGACGCCTTTAAGTGGTCATCTAAATTACAAGCGCTTTCAAAAACATTTAGATTAACCAGTTTTAAAAGCAAATTCAAGAGAACAAAGATTATCCAATTTAAGAGCTTACCTAAAGTGCTTTCACTGGGTTCATCAGGGTCTGGAGGATTACTGAGCAAACTGTGCATGTCTCCTCTACGACGCTGCTGTCTGTGCCTCCTTCGATACTGAAATTCAGCATATTCCTGCATAAACCAAAGGTTATAAAATACAGAAGAAGCATGCAATTTTTAAATGCCAATAGAACAAACTACATACTTTTTTTCCCAGGAAAAAAAACCGTGATTTTATATAAATATTATAAAATCACTTGGCTTTAGAAAAAGATATTTCAGGTTTTGCCATGCCAAGAAAAATGGAAAACACAAAACAGATTGAGAAAAAAATTAAAGTCATTGCAATTGCCTGGATAAACTGGGAATACTTGCAAACTCCAACGGTACATCATATCTGAGTCTTATTTTATATGCCTGGTCTTAGAACTAGTAGCACAGTGATAGGGCTTTCTTTGGATGTTTGGTTTTTCAAAAGTAACACACATAACAGAAAGAAAAACAAAGGAAAGAAAAAGCACAAACTGTTAAATACTTGCCAGGCTATTAGACGTTGTATTCTTTGGTTCTATTAGATGCCATACTCACAAGTCACATGACTAAAAGAAAAATGTGACATTATCTTTAAAATGAGATGTAAACTGGCTCCCTTCCTTTATTAGTTGATTTGTCGGATTACCCTCAAGATAGGCAGGAAAAACTACTTTTTGTTTAGTATTTAGGAAGGACACATTTTGTAGATTTCCCAGAGTCTATTTACATTTGTGATAACAGTTTAAAGTGGTTTTGTTATTATCAGAAATAGAATCTGGCACTATCTGACAAAAAAAAAATGCTTTTCCAGATTTTAGTGAAAAAGAGACTAGAAGAGAGTTCAGTGTGTATGATCAGCATAAAAAGGCATATTTTGGAGCGTCATTATAGAATCCTTCAGTGATAGATCCTAAGATACACAAGTTTTTATTTACCCAGGTTACTCTATAGTATTCAGTACACTTATACTGGGAAAGTACTAGTATAAACAGAGAAATTTTATGTCACAAATGAAGCTTTTGCATCAGATCAGCCTGACTAAGCTGATTTCAACTCTTCCATTTATCTAAGCAGCTGATCTCATAAGAGATGGGTGACATTTCACCAGGTTAGACACCAATAAATAAAAGATCTACATAGCGGGATAATTTAGATATTTAAAATGCCCTGCTGATAACGTTTCTTCTTTTTTTGGAAGTCCATGATCCAAAACTGGATGACTATTATGTGTTATCCTTGCTCACTGTATTATTGAAGAATAGCACATTTCTTAGATGAAAATGGTATGAAAATTTACCTCTAATCAAGATTTATATTTACTGATTTATTTTGAATACTTGATGATGGTACAAAGTTATTCTGAATTAAATAAATAGTTTAAAAATAACTAAGAGATATTAGATGTATTTATAATTATTCTGATAGAATATTCAAATCGTATTCTCACAATGCAACAGACTTTTAAAAATGAGAGTATCTGAAAATTTCCAAGGACTCCTAAGATCTTCAAGTAAGCATATGAAAAGGCTAAAATCAAGTTTGAATGTTAAGGCTACAGAGAAGTTTTAGGACTACAAGGGAAAAAGCTGCCAGGAGACTTTTCTCCTTTGTTTTAATACATCATTCACCATCATTGAGTACCAATTTTGTCAAAGACTAAAAGAGATGATTTAACACTCCTAGAACGTCCATGGACTAGATGCCACCATCTACATTTTATAGATGAGAAACTAAGGAAAAACATAATCTAAAAACATAATCTAGTAAGTTTCAGAGCTACATCTTGAATTCAGGTATCCCTCAGACTTTTAGATTATTCATATTTTTCTCTGGGTTCCACTGCCTTTAAAAGTGGTACAAAAACAGTACTTAAGCTTATCAGTTGATTGACTCAATTTAAAGAGTTTAAGATGGAATTTACTGAGACAAGTCCAACCTAGGTGTGTATTGGAGCTTGGCAATATTTCTCAGTCTATATGAAGGCCAACAGCTAAATTTTAGAGAGGTAACATGGACAGTTACTTCATAGTTAACAAACATGAAGAATTTTAAAGTTTCACATTGTGTGGTAATTCTTTAGACTTGCAGGAAGAGTTAGAAAAGCTAGGTATTTCAATGAGGCTAGTGACTTTAAAGAAAAGTAAAAGCAAGTTACATAAGTCCTATAAAATTTATTAACTCCTTAAAAATAAATTTAAGAAGAGAATACTATTCAATAACCTCAGAAATCTCAATCTCTGGAGAACAAACTCAGTAATATTCATGTGTGAAAAGGGAAGTCCTATTTTTTTCTTTTTTACAGAATGAATCTGTGTCAGTAATACTGACAAGTGCTTTATGTTCAAGGACAATATTTCAGGGTTCTAAAACTTACTGGCAGAGCCCAAAGTTGCAAGATGATGTGCATATGATTGTGAATATAAAAGCTTTACTTTTGCTAAGTTGTTTTTAGTTGAAAATACTGAAGTCTCTAGTACTCTGCTTTTGATAACTGAAGTTTGGTGATTCTTCCTTTCAGGAGCAACCACAATATCCTCAAAGTTGTAATATAACAAGTACTCAATAAGCATAGGATTAGATAAAGAAAAAGTCTCAAATTTGTTTTTACAATAAAACTGTAATATGTGATTTTTCTTTTTGGAACTTAAAAAGTTTTCATATCAGAACTCTTAAGTACAAATTAATTTTTAAAGTCAATATGTTCTTGGGAAAAATCTACTAACACAAAAAGGTGATTGCAAGTATCCTCTGAAGCTGAAAAGAGAAAATACCTGATTTAAATAAGCCACTGTCATTTTTGGGACAAAAGTCAATTTCACTATTACTTGCTAATAACAAATGGGTTATAAGCAATAAACAAAAGTTTCATGGTTTGCCCCACACCCTTCCAAGAATTAAGCTAAAATATTATCTTAATAAAAGCACTAGATGGTATAATGCTTTGTAAAGAGCAAGGAAGGAGAGCCAGAGGTAGAGACTATTGCTAAAGCCATTTAAAATCAGACTCAACTGTGACAGTGGCAATTTAAACTCAGGAAATAGCAATGTGATTAAGATTTTCACTGTCTTATTTTTACTTGCAGCAGCTGCTATTTGCAATGGTTCTGTTAGACCTTCTGTAATTCAAAGTGGTTATCAATAACGACAAGAAATGAGTGTGAAAATCTTAAAGAAAAGGAAAGTAACTAAGCAAAGCAATTCTTTCTATGTAAACATTATTAGTGTCAAGTGCCCACCTTAACAACTGACAGACAATTCCCTAAGGTTGCTCTACTGCTTTAGAAAAGTAGGCTATTTATTTTTTCAATAGATTCAGATTTGGACAGTATTATAACCAGAAAGAGATAAAATTTGTAATAATAATAAATAAAATTTATTAATAAATAATACTTAAATAAAATTTAAGTAAAATTCTAATAAATAAAATTTGTATCTCTTTTAACCAAGCTGAAGATATTTTTTAAAAATATGCTATAAACTTGTCTTAATTCTGACTATATGGTATGTAATAAAAGTGAAATGCATTTAATAATGAAAATTCATTAACATAAATAGCTAAATGTAGGCTCTGCTGAGGCATTTTTATTACAAAAAGAAAGAGAAACATAGCTGACAATCTCAGTAAGATTTAGAATAAATGAGGGTGCAAATGCAAGCAGGATTGCACTAAAGAAAAGCATAAACAAAACAGAACAAAACCTCCACAAAACAATTACCTCAGGTGATGCAAATCCTAAATATTCCCAATCCCATGTTCCACCAGCAAAGCTACAAAGAAATTAGACATACCATTTGATTTATTATCAATACTACAAAGTGAAAACAATCAGACCCTTGCCCTTTGAACATTTCTTTTAATTCCTTTGCTTGAACCTTGCTTAACCAAATTAGATCAATTACTGAATGTAATTAAAATGATACTTTCATTATTTCTTTCAAGTTCTAAATTGTGTTGTTTTGGAAAGCTAAAAATCAACATGTTATAACAGTAGTTCATGATTGCTTCCAATTTCATGAATGTTTATGTAAAAATGGGGTCAAAGGAATTTCTAATAACTATAGTTATTATAACTAAATACATACATAATGGCACAAATAGTACAAGTACCTGAAACAAAACAATCCAAACTCCACTGGTTTTAAATTTAATGGATGTGGGAAAGTATAAAGAAAAAACAAAACCTTCACAAAATAATTACCCCAGGAAATGCAAATCCTAAATATTCCTAATTTCATGTACCACCAGCAAAGCTACAAAGAATCAACCCTGCTGAAAAATTTACTAATACTCAGTTTTCTAAATTCTTCACAATTTCCTACCATAAAATCTCGACTATACTGTAACAAACTGGCAAGGCTTCCAAATTCTACATCATAGGGCGTTTACAACTATACTATGTACTTGAAATGATACATTAGACGTTTCTGAATTATAAATTCACTGAAGAGTGAAATTAGCAATCTGTTTTTTCCTGAGAAACTATAAAATGTCAAACAAAAAAATTGTAAGAGAAAGTATCAAGGAAAAAAAATTCAGCAGAATAAAGTTAGCATACTTTTTTATGAGTTAGCCATATTTACAAAAATGTAACATCCAGAAATATGAACACTAGCTCTATAAAAAATAAACCTGCCAGCATTTGTGGCTGGGGCAGGGATGATTTCCACAGTTGCCTTCTTTTACCTGCGCCTTGGAGCTTCTGGAGAGTCTGCAGGAGCAACTCCTCTAGCCACAGATGCCAGAAATTCTTGCCTCTTCTGTTGTACAAGGCACGCTGCCTTGATGATCTTATGGCGGGGTGTGCGAAGATAAGGCCTATTGACTTTTTGGGCGAGATCCTCAGTGACCATTTCTAAGTCTGTCTATCGTAAGAGAAAAGGAGATTACAGGCTAAGTTGAGTAGTCAGTCAATAGCAAATCAAGTGTCTTTCGGCTTTTACACTTAAATCTAATTCTCTTGATGTCAGAAATTATTCCAAAATTTGAAATAACTTCCTATTTAAGAAATTCTGTATTTTTCACATTCCCCCCCCCTCTAGATTTTGAAAGAAAAGGATGAATCATGTGAAATTAGCTTAAATTCAGGGAAATAATACTCATCTGATAGGGCATTTACTAGCTGTACAGTTACGTTTTTTTACAAAGTGATAGTGAATAAACTAGGGTTTATAACTGGGGAAAAAAACCAAATTTTCAAGGTGTTGTACATGCAAAAATACTTGACCATGTGAGGTAGACTATAAATGCTAAGGGAATTTGAGGGAAGGCCAGACCTTTGTGAGTTGTGGTTAGGTGTGGAAGATTTCATGTAAATATAAGTATTAGAGCCTCAAAAGAAATATTGTATATAAAGTAATAGAGAACAGTTCACAAAGATGAAATGAAAACTGTAGCAAGAGAACAACTTTTGGTGGGTTCAAGAAAAAGAGGTATAGTAATGAAGTAAGCAGGTTAACTACAATGACATCAATTGGTTTAAGTGTTTCCATTCTTCAAATGCTATAATTTTATAAGTTGTACTTTTAAGATAAACCAGTAAATAATGATTTTCACATCTGGTAAGTAATGCAGTTTATTTTTGAAGATAAAAGACCTAATTACATAATCAGAATTAGGCTAGACTTGAAGTTCAACCAGTTTAAAACAAAGAAATAAATGCAGTAGGAAATATTTGCATAGATGAATTCAGAACTGTAGAGTGACAAGTTTAAACATAAAGAAAACTTCAGTTTATTACTGGTAACAATTTCTTTAAAAAACACTTGAAAATGAAAACTAAATCATTTGCTATTCATACTTAGATAAAACTTAGCTAAGTGGCTGAAGAAGTTGAGACAATCTATTCCTCATAATAATTATACTAAAATTTAATTTTAAAAAATATCTTACTTGCATGAGTTCAAAAATTTCTTTCTTTGTGCTTTTAGGTTCTAAGAAAAATCCATATGGATAAGAACACTTGAGAATGCGCCGAGTTTTTAAGAGCACGTGAACTGCATCTTCAATGAAAGTGGTGTCTGGACAGCCTCCTTCAGCTATAAAGCAAATCAGGCATAGTGAATTTTTGTTTTTGCGGCACTTTGTAACATATGCTATTATAAAATAAACTAAGTTTTCTTAAAAAGAAAAAAAAAAAGGAATAAGGACACCTGCAGAAGAAATTGTTTGATATGTTTGTCTGATAGTATTCATTTGAATGAGATCAAAAACTATTCATGTATAACAAATGTATATCTACAAATGAAGCACAGGAACCCAGGAGAATTAATAGTGGTCATGAGGAATGCATACTCATACTGGTTCTTATTTCTGTTGTAAAAACAAATCTAGCTTTAGGTCAATTGAAAACCTTCCTGTTTTCCAGTTTATTCCAGATAGAAATTTGTTGACTAGGAATTAGAACAAAAGTCCTGCTAGAATGCTTGCTTAAAAAGGTCTCACAGGGGCCCTCCCTGGTGGCGCAGCGGGTTAAAGCACAGCACTGAGAATCTAAAGCCGCTTCCTCATGAGTTCAATTCCCGCCTGCCCCGGAGGTGACCACATGGCGTGGCAGACCTCTCCTGACCCGCCCGCTGCTCCCCTCAGCAGTGTATTTCGTTGATCTGCCTGTTCTGCACTCCACTCTGTCTCTGGTGAATTCTCCCACCCTCCACATCTCTGGCCTGTATCCCAGTTCTGTATGCACAAATAAAATAAAATCTTTAAAAAAAAAAAGGTCTCACAGGGATTACAATTGAGATGGAAAAAGGCACAAAATGATGTAAAAATAAACTATCATAGTATTTTTAAAAATTAAAAAATAATTGGGTGATTAAAAAAAAAAAAAAAGGCTGAGAGCCCTCCCTGGTGGTGCAGCGGGTTAAAGCACAGCACTAAGAAGCTAAAGCCACTTCAGCATGAGTTTGATGCCCGCCCCACAGGTGACCCACATGGCACGGCAGACCTCTCCTGACCCACCTGCTGCTCCCCTCAGCAGTGTACTTCACCAGTCGGCCTGTTCTGCTCCCCACTCTGTCTCTGGTGAAGCCTCTCACCGTCCCTACACCTCTGGCTGTACCCCAGTTCTGTATGCATAAATAAATAAACCTTTAAAAAAGAAAGTCTTAAGTAACTGTGCCTCTTAAGAACCAATATTGTAAGGATGAGGATACAACACTGGGGAGGACAACCAGATAATTAATGGTAGTAGATAAAAAACTTCAGGGAAAGAGAGAAAAGCAGGAAGAGTAACGGGCAAGAAGAAATTGCCCTAGTATCTGAAAGTGCTCTTTCTCATAACATTCTAGTCTTTTCCTTAATTGCTAGTAAAGAGAAATTAAACAGTAGAATTAAGGTTGATAAGCACTTTTGAAAAAAACATTTTTCTGCATGCCTATAGAGGAAATTACATTATGTATACACACTGATAAATATACCAAAACAAAATACCTAGCCTAGTGAAAGATATCTGAACTAAAAAGATACAAAGAAATACAAACACTACCCCTCATTATGTGTGTGAGAAGTATGTGATGTTTTGTTTCTTCTCCAATCCTTTTAGCTTTTAATATTTTCCCATATATTTACTATGCTGTTTAGAACCTCCAGAGTGTTCGACAGGACCAATAGTAAAATCTATAAACATTTATTGAATATTTATTATGTGTTAGGAATTGTTCTAAGCATAAGGGATACATCAGCATTAAAGAAAACAAAAATTCTTGCTGAAAAACTAGACCCATGAAGATATTTTCCTTTTAATCTTTACCAGACAATAATCAACAGTTTGGTGTAGCTGTGATATCAATGTATCATTATTAGTCTAAGAGCTAATCATTAGCAAGGAGACAATTTTTGCCCCACTTTAATTTATATAATTTAGGTCTTCATTAAGGAATTATCCTCATGAAAGGGGTGTTAGTACTCATTATTTTTATAAACTAGAACAAACAAGTAAAATTAGATGCATTTTTTGGTTTTAAAACTCTTATATATCTCTCTTATGATTATTTTAAAAATGTCTTTTAAAAGCAAATATACCAGAACCTGAATTCTGTATAATCACTGTATCCTGTATATCATAAAGACCTAACCGATGCTCAGTCCATTTTAGAATTGAAAATTTAGCATCCAGAAGTTACTTCATGACTCTTGCATTTTGAATCCAATGTCCACTATTTACCAGTGAGATGATTTCTCCCAAAACTGAACTTCCTCTTCATTAGGCACTCTGTTCAATTTTCTCAAAAATCTTTGGAAATTCTGTCACACAACAACTGGGTAGCATGTGCATCTTGCTCTTTTGATTCTAGGTCTAAGATTCCTTTTAGGGTCTACCCACTTTCTCCAGGACTGTAGATCAAGTGACAGTACTATAATACCACAAAACTGTGTTCACCTACTAACAGTTAAGACTGCATTTCAGAGGAGCAGATCAGTTAAATCAGGTTGAAAAATCTAATCAGGGGTTAAATGCTGACTGCACTCTGGACTTTATAGAGAATTCAAAACAGTACCAGAATGAGCTAGTGGAGATTCATTTAAAGGCATTAACTTCCACTAATGAACTGACTTAAGCATGTAAAGCTACTTTACAGTAAGTATCCCATATGACTTGTAACTTACTTTCTTTGAGAGCTCTACTCAATTGCTCCATCTTTTCTTTGGCTGTTTTAAGAAGGCGTTGTTCTAGCTAGAGGAACGGAAATAAATAATTTGAATCACCTTATTCATAACAGTTAAATTCAGCTCATTTGAAATTATTTGGGACATACCTCATAGCTATGCTCGTGGTTCTTAAATCTTGTATAATAGTGCATAAATCTGTCAAGTTCCTGAAATCGTTTATGTTTCTTCTCAGCCTATAAAAAGTCCATAAATAGTGCTTATAAATAAACTACAAGATACTAAAATTGTTTTCCTCTTAACTGTTATTAATAGGCAATAGTGCATATTGCCTATTGATATTTTTGAGAAAAATAATCTTGATTTGTTGATTATTTTGAGAAAGATAACCAGTACATTGTAAAGTTTCTTGGAACAGAATCTTAACATTTGTCTTCTCTGTGACAAACCACTGAATCCACAATCCCTCATCTAAGGGAAAGATGCCTCTCAAGCACTGTAACTATCAGATATTCAGTATTTCCATCCATCCTTCTCACAACAGTCAGCAGACTAAGAAGATTATTTTATGTTATATCATAATACTGTATTGTTGATATTATGTGAAAATTGTTTTTAAGCTATGATTGACAAGATGGAATATACAACACTTTTGCCACTTTAAACCAATGTAATAACTATTTCTTAGTGTAAGCTCTCAAGCTTACAGAGCTATCTGGTTTAAATTAAATGTCACCCTAATGTATATTCAACTCAGTGCCTCACTGCAATAAAGACAAAAAAGAAATGCAAAATTCTTCTAACAGAATTAAATGGCTTAGTCATAGGTTTTGGTTTGAACATTTTACCTCCACAGTCATTTCCTTGGATTGCTCCTCCACATGTTGAATGACTTCATAGCGAGTACATCTGTAATAACCTCCTGTGGAAGAACTATGTTTTTTCCACTCTTCTAGGCAAATCCAACAAAAGTCATACTTGCACTTCAAAAGAAAACATACATGTAAACAAACCCCTGTGTGAATATGCAAATTATTTTCCAATTTCTAGTGAATCAATTTTTAGAGATTAAACAATCCTGCCTGTGACCAGAACAAATCTTTCAGACATGTCCTCTTTTTACAGTTTCCTATGGAGACCTTATGTGCACTCTGTTTCTTAAAGTTAATGCTTATAAGGTTAAAGTAAAACATAAACATTAAACCCTAATATTATAAAATAATTTCTAGGGTTCTAAAGATAGCAATTCTTTCAAATGATAAAAATATATCTAAAGACAGCAATTCTTTCAAATGATAAAAATAAATAATGACAAATGTTTCATTTTTCAAGTGCACTATAATTTACATTGGTGTATAAATCTCCACTAGACTATTTGAAAACTTCTGAAGACTTTAATAAACTGATTTTGAAAAAGGGAATAAGCTTAAAAGGTCTCTAAGTGGAACAGTTGACATATAAACTGTATCTCATTTTTAGAAAATTTTACTTAATTACAATAATTATCAAAGTAAAAAAACATGAACATTCTCATGTGAAAATACAGGTTTTGTTTTTTTTAAAAATGTTTGTGGGTTTTGAGTCAGCATGATGTTCTCATTCCAAGTTTTTTTTTTCTGTTATTTTTATAGTTTGCTTTTGTTTAAAAAACATTTACATCTTGACATCTTTTAGATATTTGGTTTTATCTGGCTATGTATTATAAAGTATAAATTCAGCTTTTTTAAAAACTGATTTCCCAGTTATTACCACTTATTGATAGTACATGTTTCCCCACTGGTTGGAGAACCCAGATATCTAAAGATCTGATAAATTTCCATGCATGTGTTTATTTTCTGGGTTTCATTTCTATTTTCATCAATCTGTAGATTTATGTGCCTTTACCATACTGTTTTAATTACTGAGTCACTAAAATATGGCTTACTATTTGACAAGGTTAGTTTCTCTTGTGTTCTTGTATACAGATTCCCTAGCTAATAATTATATATATATTTTTGCTATATAAAGGTGATTTCCCTTTATATTTATGTTTCCTACCTATTCTTACTTTGTTTTTTATACAAACTTTTGAATTACCTTAATTAAATGCAGAAACAAAAGCCATTGGTAATTTTGTTATAATCTTTCTATTAAGAATTTATTATTTTATTTTGTCACCTTTTGTGCCGTATAGATGGAGGGTTTAAATTTTTCTTCATATTATTTTTTTTACATTTTGTTTCCTTCTACATAAATGAGGTATTTTTGAGGGGTATATATTCCACACATGAAGGATATTACTGTCTGCGTATTAATTTTGTACTCTACTACAGCACAAAATTTTTGTTTGTGAAAAGTCTGTTGTTCGTAGTGGGTTTTCTATGCATATAATCATTCTTTCTACAAACTACCACTATTTCTAATTTTTTACATCTCCAGTTTTTTTCTATTGTCTTATTATATTGAGTGGTAAATAATTACAATCCAGTATTAGTAACATTTTTGATAGAGCACATCTTATCTTGTTCTTGATTTTAGTGAGGGAACCACAAATTTCCCTAAATGTCATGTTAATCTTTGAATTGAAATACATTTATCTTTAGCATACTAAGGAAGTTACCCTCTATTCCAGCTTCTGTGTCTTATAAAGAATGGTTGTTGATTTTCTTTTCAAATGCCTTTTTAGCATCTCTATATAAAATCCCTATGGTTTTTTCTTTGAATCTGCTAATGAAATGAAGTATAGCAACAGCTTTTAAAATATCAAATTATTCTTTTTTTTGGAATGAACCTACATGGCTAGTTTAATTTTTCAGATAACAATTTTTTTAGTTGAGATAATTGTTGATCATCTACTCTTTCAATGTACTTTGCTGAATTATGTTTGCTAATTCTGTGGGTTCTCCCCACTCCTTCTCCACTCTCCATCTTATTTAGGACAGTAAGATTGTTCTACACTTTTGTTTTTAAAATCTTGTCAAAGGCTAGCTATTTAGTTTATAATGATTATTTGAAAGTTGTTTTGTTAATACCCAGGTACACTTGAAAACACAGAAGTTACAGATTTGATAGAGTTCTATTGTGAAATGGTAAAAAATAACTGCAGTAAGGTGGGGAAGATAATGAAAACCTTCCTTCCATAGAGATAGGTTCACATGGCTATCTCTTCTGGGGTTAAGTTTTAACACAATCAATTTTCTTAGAAAATCAACCCATTTAAATCCAAATTGAAACTCTGATATGAAACAGATATGCTGAAACCTGTTTTTTACTTAAGAGTTGAGCAGTTATCTCTTATTATCATTTTGATTTGCTTTGCTTATTATTTCCCTTACTATTTATATTAATAAAAGAACTCCCTTACTCCTACTTTTTTCTTATGTAAGCTTAGTAGTTTGTTTTATTGTTTCTTCAGAAAACCATATTTTAGATTTATTTATAGTTGTATTGTTTTACAGTTAACTCTGATTTCTGATTAAAAAACACTCACCAAGTTTTCATCTTACCTAACTTTATTAATTTCTATTTTCTCTTATTATGATCAGAGAATGTGGAATCTACTTCCTATTTTCTGAACTATTCATGAAATTGATGATCAAGAATGACTGTTTTGTGAATGTCCCATGGGTACTTGAAAAGGATTCATATTTTCACCATACAGAATTTGAATATATCGCAATCAAGTATACTGCAGTAATTACACTGACTTCTATATATTTACTAATTTTTGTCTATCTTACATGTCATGGACAGAGAACCAAGTTAACATCTCTATGCCATGTAGCCTTTAAAAAAATAAATTGTGAGCCTGTAAGTGAAGTAAGTCAAAATGAAAAAAAGATAAACAACAGATGGTTTCACTTATAGTGGAATACAGAAAAACCAAACAAAGGGTCAGACAAAGATAAACCTTGAAAATGGACCATAGATATGAAGTATGCATAAGGGAAGAGGGAAGGGTCAAAGTAGGGTAGGGATTGGGGTGAGTGGAAGGTGCAGGTAGTGGGGGGAAGAGAGCACAAGGAATATGGTGACGGACTATGCGTGCTATGGTGGTGGGAGGACTATGGTGACCAACCTGGAAGGAGAAATCATGTATTGTCCAAAATTTAAATTAAAAGAACAAAAAATGTTGTGCTACTATCAGCAAAATAAATAAATAAATAAATAAAACAACTGTGAGCTTGTTTTAAAGTTATGACACTGTGTAAGTTGTTTCATTGCCTGGTACAAGCAAACTTTGTGCCTGATTTGATACAATTACAGTTTAATACTTCTTTATTATCTCTCAAAATTAACGGCAAAACTTTTGTAAAGCAGTCTAATTAACTTTTATGATAAGAAAAACAATAAAGACGTTAATAGCTTTTAGTTATAGCATAGCTTTATACCAATGAAAATTACTACGAAGTGATTTAAAATACCTAAGAATGCAAAATTTAAATAATTACCTGAAAGTTATCTAAAAAGGAAATCAATAGGATGAAGAAGGTTTTTACGATGAATGAACTTATTTTATAGGATCAAATCTGTCATTTTAAGAAAAATTTAATAATTTTACTCCATAAAGAAAAAACTACATACTGAATCATAACACTGAGATAATAAAAGTATATTATAATTTAGACATTGTATTAGAACATGGATTCAATACATGGGAAATGTTGTTCTACTACCTTCCCTTCACATTAAAAAAAAGCTCTCTAAAAGTGTAAAATTTTTCTGTAGCAAATTTATAACTTTCCAGATGTGCACTTTTTCTTTTGTTCAATGAGAATACTTCAGATAACATATTAGATAAGACTATAACATTTACACATCATGTAAGTAAAAAATTTTTTTAATGCCAACAGGAGCTTAAAGCAAAATCTGTTTAAGATGAATTACCTTATATCAGTCTTGATAAATTCATGAACATATTTATTCACTCAATATATATATAAATCAAGTTTCTACTAGTGACTGGTGCTATGAAGGAGAAAAGGTAATAGTGGATCTCGTCTCTTTGTTTAGAAGACTAGATGCTCATTTTTTTGGTCAAACTATTTCTTTATATATTTATGTAGGGTATATAAGATTTTGTAAAAACCAACAAACAAAAAAACTAATATAGGTATTAGAGAAAAGACCCTAAATAAATGAAAAGAATTTTGGCCTGATCTGCTAGACTTCTGAAGATGTGCCCAGTACACTATAATGGGGTTTTCTTATCTCTTAGGAAAATCATTATTACTGTCTCACTAAGTAAATTAGTTTACATTTAAAGCAATATAGGCTTGTAAACAACATCTGGTAACTGCCATTATTATATTTTATAAATATTAAAACTGGGGTACAGCTAGAGGTGCAGTAGGGTAGAGGATTCACGGGGGAAGATTCATGGGAAGCACACTCAGCAGCAGGGGAGACAGGAGAGGTCCTGGCTGAGGAATGAACCTGTGCTGCAGGGGCTGCAGACAGTTTCAAAGTGCTGTGCTTTAACCCCCTGCAGCACCAGGGAGGGCCCTGCCATTATTTATTTATTTATTTTTAAAAGATTTATTTATTTAAACATACAGAACTGGGGTATAGGCCAGAGGTGCAGGGGCAGTGAGACATTTCACCAGAGACAGAGTAGGGGGCAGAACAGGCAGATCGATGAAGTACACTGTTGAGGGGAGCAGCGGGCGGGTCAGGGGAGATCTGCCGTACCATGTGGGTCACCTTCAGGTGGGTATCGAACTCATGCTGAAGTGGCTTTAGCATCTTAGTGCTGTGGTTTAACCTGCTGTGCCTCCAGGGAGGGCCCCCTGCCATTAATTTTTAAGTTAAAATAATGACCGTTATAAATATATAGATGGAACTTCCAATGTAAAAAACTGGAATCATTTTATCTTTGAAACAAAAGTGTTCATAAATATAAGAATGGATTAATAAAATGAGATTAAACTTCTTCCAGAATATTTGTTTTACTTATGAGAGTTTCTTTTCTATGCAACTAAGTCAGGAGAATAACCTTCTAAAAGTAATTACTTATATTAATTATTTTTCAGCCAAGTGACTCTTCATTCCCATTTTTATTTTCAATATAGCATGAATCATACAACTAATTAATGACTTCATTAGCAGACATAAAGTCTGTCCATTGTTTTGGGCACCTTTATTATACAAACACCTATATATAGAAACCAAGGTAAAGATTTGAACTTAGAGAGACTGCCCTGCCTGGGGCCTATCAGGCCAAGAGTCTAAGCTGTACTGTTCTAAAACCAGTTTTGCCAGAGATTTGAGCACTTTACCATTTTTTAGAATTTTACAATTTACATAGACACAAAACTCTCTCAGCATCCTCACGTGGAGATATAGCTATCAGGAAACAATGCAAGCATCTCCTGACTTTCTGGCCAAAACTATTGAATCTTTATTTTTTAAACATTCACTAGAAATATAAATTTTGTGATATAAGTCAATACTTGAGTTATTCAACAAAGAATGTAGAATGTAATCTCCTAGAGTAAGTATAACACCCAATAAAATTTTAATGTTTTATCATATTTCTTCTTTGGGTTAACAAAAATCAAGATTCCAACTGCAAAGCATGCAACCTTTTCATTAACTTCTTACCTTCGCACACTGCATATGGTTGCACCCTTCATTCTTCTGTATTGGAGACTTGCAGTTAGCACAAGGCTTGGAATTCGTTAACAACCAGAGGCAATTGGCAGCATCCTCATAAGCCTCACTTACACCCACAACTTTGGGATAGAAGGAAAAACACAAAAATAAGTAATTTAACGCACAAGTTCAAGGAGGAGATAAACCCTTAAGTTTTCTTTGTAGCCTAACTTTCAATCTTAATCATATATTTATTTCCTAATGGGTTCTACAGCAAAGTTTTAAAACTGCTTTATTCTCAATAGCATGACTGTCAGATAAGGAACTGTATTCAAAAGCTCTACTTATGAAACTGGATTTAAAGAATATTTATCCTTAAATTTGTGTCTAAAAAAACAGGGAAGAGAAAAATTGAAGTTAAAAAAAAAAAAAAGATTGTTCTCTGTATAAAATAACTACTGGATCAACGAATATTACAGAAAGATATGGGTATTTCATTCACTTTTTTAAAAGTTTATGTATACAGAACTGGGGTACAAGCCAGAGGCACAGGGGCCATGAGAGGATTCACCAGAGACAGAGCAGCGAGCAGAACAGGTGGAGCTACTGAAATACACTGCTAAGAGGAGCAGTAGACAAAACAGGAGAGGTCTGCGGCACCATATGGGTTAGTTCCTTGGCCAGCATACAACACATGCGACAGTGGCTGGTGGTAGCTTGATAATGCTGAAATTTTAACCCTTGTGTCACCAAGGAGGTCCAGAATGGTTAAACAGTAATTTCATAGCTACCAGAAACTCTTCCTCATAGTAAAAAACATATTATGCTGAGTATAAAAATCTTTTAAAGCCATGATTATTTCAGATAAATTAAAATCACACGTGACAAGTCTAAAGCTATACTTATAATTTCTCTCAAACAAGGTCATCTACCCAGACTCAGTCCAGAAAGAATATGATCTTGGACACCCTTCTCTTTCTCTTACCCACCGTGTCCCATTGATTCTACCTCTTTCTCTTTCACATCTGACCTCTCTCCATTCCATTTCTTACTACTTTAGTGAGGGTATACTCCCAGACAATTAAAACATAGAAAACCAGCCTCTGTATCTCAGATCCTTCTCTTGACCAACAGCATTAAACTGCCTATGGTGATCTTTTTAATCCCCACTGACCACAGATCACTATTAAGAATAAATGGTTCTAGTAAGAATATAGCACTTACTGTCTACCTTGCAAGTTTCTCTCACCCTAACTCCTCATCAACCTTACATCATCTTAAACTCAATTTATTCTATTGTAATTTGAGATCTGTAATCTCAATGAATACATGGCTTTAAAAAATTCTAAATTTTACATTTTATAAACTCCTTCTGCTCCATCTCCCAATGGAGAGAGTTAGGAGCTAGACTGAACCCAAACGCACAATAAAAAAATTTTTTTTAGCAAAAATGCCAGTAATTTAGTTCGTCTTGTTTTGTTTTCTAGCTATAAGAGTATGAGGAAGACTTATGTTTTCTTTCCTGAAAGAGATATCTGTAAATCACTTTTGAATCACTGAAAGTGGCTCAACAAATTAGGGCTCTGATTATCAATATATGTAGACTCTCAGAAGGGTGGGTTAAGGGTTAGCCCTATAGTCAAGAGCAGGACAAAAAGGCCAATCCCAAATACAAATCCCTATTGAGGAAAGGACAACAAAGGTTTGGGCTTACTCTTCCCTGGTAAGCCACTCTCTAAATCAACTAGTGGTTTGATGGAGCCTAGCAAAGGAGTCTTATCTGTTGCAAGGAACTCAGAGTGTGTATCCACTTAGGTATGGGTCCACAACAGAACAGCAGCTACTGCTGGAATGTAAAATGCTGGGTTTCAATTCTACATAGCAAAAGAGAAACAATAGCAGTAAGATTCCACTGTTGTTCCAAACCCACTTTGTAGAAGATGGTTTGATTAGGGTGTTAGTGGTGAGAATTCTGAGATAATTTGGTGGAGAATAGAATTTTAGAAGGAACTTGTTATACATTTGTGACTAGTAACTAAGCCAAGATGTGGAGGTAATGCCATTTAAAAGGGGCATTGCTATAAAGCTTAATCACAAAGTACAAAAATATCTAATTTTTGTTTAAAAGTAGTGGCTTTTCTCCTCCCTTCAGTGTCAGCATTATTTTTAGCTCAGAGTCTGTAACATATTCTCATGATCTTTATTGTTTATTGTTTTAGTAATAAAGCACAATGCCATTAAAACAAAGCAGCTGTGTGCCCTGCAACATAACAGTGTTTTTCTCCCTCTTGGAGAGAATGTTAGTTTCTAAATGCATTTTAGTGGGCTGCAAAATAAATCATGTTCAGAAATAACCAACTATTATTTCAATTAAAACTTGTGCTGGAAAATACCTTCACTTTCAGTTTTCTAAACATGCTCATTTCATATATCTGCCCTTGCTTTTAAAAACTACCTGCAATACCTTATCTTCCCCTTCAGTCTACCTGGTGACTCTTCTTTACCCTTACTGACTTCCAAACTCTTCCCCTTCACTTTAGTTATGTGTTTTACTACATCTTAATTTTTCCTTAATTATCTATGGTCTCTCTGTAAGGAATAATTACCTTTACTTAAGCAAGTATTAGAGTATCAGGCAACTGAAGATTCTAAGTGGGGTCAATAAGTTAGTAAAAAAAATTGTTTTTAAAGACTGATTCCACAGATTATGAGAATTCTACTCAATAAACATTCATTGAGTATGTACTAAAAAAATTGAGACTAAAAATTGGTCTCAGAATTTTATGTTAACTATCCTTTCACAGAAAATGTAATCATCCCTGCTCCTTACTCTGGTTAGACACACAGAGGCAGTTTGTAGTTCTTAAGAACAGTATTTGTATCTTTATATGGAATTCTTTCAACTGACTTCTGTACATTTTTTTTTTTTAAAGATTTATTTATTTGTACATACAGAACTGGGGTGCAGGCCAGAGGCTCAGGGGCGGTGAGAGGCTTCACCAGAGACAGAGTGGGGAGCAGAACAGGCAGATCAATGAAGTACACTGCTGAGGGGAGCAGCGGGCGGGTCAGGAGAGGTCTGCCACGCCATGTGGTCACCTCCGGGGCAGGCGGGAATTGAACTCATGCGGAAGTGGCTTTAGCTTTACAGTTGCAGTGCTTTAACCCGCTGCGCCACCAGGGAGGGCCCTCTGTACATTTTTTAATGTCCTTTCTCAATTAAGATTCTGTCATTCCAAATGAAACTGGGCATAAGGGAGAAAACTGTATCAAGAATCTACAAAATTAGTTGAAAATGCTTATGTCAATACATGTGACATGCAAATTCATACTTTTCTCTTTAGAAGTATTATTTTTGTGTATTTAATGATGATACTTTCTTGCTAATATTGTATATTAGTTTATTTACTTTAAGCCTCACCCTAAATTTGATACTTTGATGGTCATTTTAAATGTAAGTGGCTATTAGTAGTAGCAACACACTTCAGTGAGGAGCAAACACATCAGTACAAAGAGAAAACTCCTGTTCTTCTCAGCATCTGGGAACTCTGCACCTTGACTTTGGCTCCTCCAGTAGACCATTTCTCAGACATCCTTAGTCTCTTGTCTTCAATTTTCTAAATTTTACACACCTTTATAAATTAAAATTCTACCAGGATTCTTTGCGGGTAATCTTCAGTTTTTAGTGTGAAGTTAGCAGAAGTAATCACATATACATCATGTATACTGTCCTAGCTCTCCTATTTCTTTTCTCGCCTTATTATAAGGTTCATGACCCTGTGCAAGGGCATTTTGTCCAAGTACCACTGATAATCTGTATTTACCAGCCAGGTTATCTCCCTCTCCTTCCCTAATAAGAACTTATTCTAATTTACATTAATGTGAAAGAAAATGTTGTTATAAGACACGTCAGGGGATAAGCAATTACTGCAAAGCAGATACATTTATTTGTTAAAATATGAGAAGTTCTACTGGGGAGGTTAATTTAAACATATTCTGTTTAGGCCTGAGTCACTAAATCCAATCTAAGTGTAGTTAACTTTCACGTTTTTATCAGTAGCGAGAATTATTTATAGAAGGCTCAGTAAAACTAGTTACTGACATGGTACTAATATAAGTAAATCTACAGGTCTACATAATAGCAATAAGTTAATTTGTCTGATCTTCTAGTGGAAATTTCTAGGGAAATAAGAAGATTCTACTTACTGCAGATTACATATAGTTACCCTAGTAAGTACAGAAAAGCTAGTTGGCTTACTTTAGAATAGAAGAGAAGGGTTGTAGGAGGGTGGCTTAAGTGTGAACCTTATTTATCATTTATCTTATGCTGGGAAACAAATCTTAGAAAGATGTGCCCTACCTATGATTCACCCTTGTAAAAATATTGTGATCTCTAAAAGGACATAGCTTAGAGAGATGATGTAATTAAACAGGAGAGCTCTAGCATTAACAAACTTGAAAAATGAAAAAAATCTAAGAAATATGACATTATAGTTTGAATACTATAAGAAAATAGATAGTATAATTATCTAAAATTCCTCTTACGTTCTTCTGGTTTCATTTCTGTTATTTTTTGTAGCCAATTTTTCCATGTTTGGCAGTCACACGGCTCATGTGCTTCACCAAGGCACTCCCTAAAGAGGACAACATAGAAAAGATAATTTAAAGATATTCTTCATCAATATCAAGGTAGGAAAATAGGTGAGATATACTCTTCCAGTTTTAAAGTTGAGGAACCTGGAGTACAATGACAAGAGATGAAAAACGTTTCTGAAGCTTGATTTTCACCAGGTTTGTTTTCTTTTTCTTACTCAATACATTCATTTTACTTACTATTTAAAGCCCCAAATAAATTAATATTTGTAATTTAGTTTTATATGCTTTAAAAACTCTAAAATATTTTTATCAAACAGCTTCTGCCTCATTAATACTTTAAAATCTTATCTCAAACTGTGGTTCTCCTGGCTAGCAGGAAGGCATTACTCAGGAGTTTGTCATAAAGAAGAACAGGCCTCTAGAGAGCTACTTAATAGAATCTGCATTTTATCAAAATCACACATAACTCTTCAACATTTCAGAGTTTGAAAAGTACTATTTTACATCATGCTCTTGTTATTGTTACCTCAAATCTCCAAGTTAACAACTACGGGAATTAAATTTATTCTTGAGGTTGATGAATCCTAATTTTCAGTTTCACTGGAATTTGGCAAATTTTGAATTAAAAAATTCACAAAATATATCAACTTATCATTTGTAACTTAGTTTTGTATTCTTTTTATAGTTATATAAAAGTCAAATATTAAAAAGGACCTAAAATGACTGGTTGTTGGTGGATGATAACTGGATATTTATTGGTTGAAGAGAATAGGTACTCCTGAAAACTGTACAAGTTGTAAAATGATGTTAGCTCAATATAAAGGAAAAAAGGCACCTTTGGATTTGCTTTGTTTAGTTAAACATACTGCTATATTATGTAGCACAAAGGTAATCTGTAGTTAGTTACAAAGTATCATTATGGGAGGGAATTGATCTGTAGATAACATCATTATCAATATCATTTTCAACAAAGATTTTTTATTCGCTAAGTTAAGAAGGCACATCAACTGATCTGGCCGCTTACCAATAAGATAACATTTCACTCTATTCAGAATATATCAATTCTATTTCATACCCACTAGGATGGTTATTATTTAAAGAAAAAGAAAAAAACAAGTGTTGAGGGACATGATAAAATTGGAACACTTATGCATTGAAGGCAGGAATATAAAATGCAGCTGCTATGAAAGACACTTTGCTGATTCCTTAGAAAGTTTATCATACACTCTAACAATTACAATCCTAGATGCATATCTAAAAGAATTGAAAGCAAGGACTTGAACTTTTCTATAATGTTCCTGATATTATTCACATTAGCCAAAGGATGGATAAAACCCAAGCGTCACTGACAGAAAAATGGATAAACAAAATATGGTGTACACATAAAATGGAAGATTACCCACAAAAAATAGTGAAATTTTCATACCTGTTACAACATGGATGAATACGGAAGACATTATGTGAAAGGACACAAAAGGACAAATATGGTATAACTCCACTTATACTAAATTCCCAGAACAGAGAAATTCTTAGAGACAGTAATAGAATGATGGTTCCCAGCAGCTGGGGAGTAAGGGGGTGGTGGGGAGGGCAGATGGATGGGAGTTTCTGCTTAATAGCTACAGAATTCCTGATGGAGATAAAAAAAAAAGTCTGCAAATGGATAGGAGTTACGCTTGTACAACACTGAATGTATTCAATGTCACCAAATGGTACACTTAAAAAAAAATAGTTTATAAAACAAACGTGCCAATTACCTTGAAAGAGTAATTTAGTTTTCTTCAAATTTCTTATTCATCACCAAATATGACATTTGGGAATACTTTTCCATGACTGTGATTTTAAAGAGCTCCTTAGTGGTAACTTAATAGTCATTAAAAAAAATATTTGCTTGATTAAAAATGGAAGTAGATTCATGTTAGCACTTATTAAAATGAACTCGCTTTTAAATATATATAAGGGATAACTGAGATAACACAATTTTATATAAGGGATAGCTGAGATAACTGTTAATTTTAACTTGGCACATACACTAGCATACATTAAGGAAATATGCCACAGATCTAGGAACAGTGTTTCCATATGATGCTTGAGAATACATGTGGAAAAACATATATTTCTCACGACTCATTTTATAGAAAACTTAAGGTGTGAAAAAACTTATATAATAACTATTATATAATAACTAAAAGAAAACAAAGTCAGCAAAATAAATTACTTCCACTAAAGTAATTATTAAGTTCTCTCCCCTACCCCCAGAGATTTAACAACATATTACTTTATTTATAATTGAATCAATAGCAGTATGATTGGCTCTGTCTGATGTCATAACATTTTCTGACAAAATGAAAAAATGTTTTTTTCTCATGGAGAAAAAAACAGCCCAATGTTTTCAAATAGAGTCTGAAAAAATAAATGCCAGGTCCTCCCTGGTGGCACAGCGAGTTAAAGCACAGCACTAAGAAGCAAAAGCCACTTCCTCATGAGTTCAATCCCCCCCGCCCCCTGGAGGTGATCCATATGGCGTGGCAGACCTCTCCTGACCCGCTCCCCTCAGCATTGTACTTCATCTATTTGCCTGTTCTGCTCCCCGCTGTGTATGTGTGTTGAATCCTCTCACTGTCCCTGCACCTCTGGCCTGTACCCCAGTTCTGTACACATAAATAAATCTTTAAAAAAAAATAAATGCCATTTCTTCAAAAGGACATGACTGCTTATGCAACTACATAATTGCTTAGTTCCCTGAGGTTGTGTTGCTTTAGACATCAATAGAAGTTTTCTTTTCAAGAATCTCAAAAGAACACAGGTACTTCCCTAGGTCATAACCCAATCAGATCACTTTTGGGTGTTAAAACTGGTTGGCACAGTTTCTACTAGTTTCCGATGCAATGCTAAGCATGGTTATAAAAAGAAGAAGCTTATAAATAAAGGAGAAGCTAGAGCAAGGTCTAAAACATAGAGAGCTAGAGATTGCAATTTAAAAATATTAACTATCTTTGAAAAATAAAAAGCCAACCCAGAAAATATGTTGAAATCTTCCAAGATCTAACAATGCTACCAGACATAATAGGTGATTGATAACCTGGCTCATGCCATGTATAGGGACAGATACTATTCTGATATAACTGACACTGGAAAGTTCCACAGATAGAGAATGCTAAATTCCTGAAAGATGTTTTAATAAAGACACCAGTGACTAGAAATAATTATTCAAACATGTAATTAAGACTACATTTAACAATGTCATTTGTTAACAAATGAATGGAAATGGGAATTTTGACATACAGCCAATTTAGACACTAACAGAGTGGGTTCCTACAGGGAAAAGTATCCAGGAAAAAAAAAAAAAAAAAAAAAAAAAAAAATATATATATATATATATATATAAAGAAAAAAAAGTGTCTAACTTAAAATTCTTAACCCTTTCCAAATATGGTAAGTTTACTAATAAATATCTTGAGATGGTTCTTCCCTTTACGTTATTAAGTACTATCATTGTCAGTAACAAATAACTGCAAAGGGTTCTGGGAAAGGAAATTACTCAAGTTTCATTATTTGATGGAAAATCCTATAGAGAGTTGGAAATTTCTGTTCACAGACACTTTAGGACTTTATTAATGACCAATCTTAAATGAATATGAGAAATTCTCATTTTATGGTTCTTCTCTTTAGTCGACTTTCTCTCTTAAAAAATCAATTGAAAATAACAGTTTTAAGATTTAAAAAAATTGAGTATACCAGGAATGTTTGTATTACCTTATGGTACTCATTTAGTCCACTCTTTGAAACTGCTATTATTTACCCCTATTTTGCATGCACAGAGAGGCTAAGAAATCTGCCAAAGATCACAAAGCTAGCAAGAGGATAAGGTAAGATTTGAAGGCACATAATTTGATTTTGGAAACAGCATGCTTTATGTTTTGTATCAAATACAAAAACTCCTGCTGTCTTACTGTATTATCATTTAAAAAAAGGTAAAAGTTTATCATCAAGCAAGTTAGAAGCAGCGGTAAATTCGGAATGCAAGCCCTCTACCTCCAGATTAAAGTTAATTTTACACTCTGCTAAAACTTTATTATTTAAATTACCAAGTAGTATTTACTTAGATGGGTATGTTACTTTGTACAGAGTAGACATATTTCAACAGGGTCTTATAACTGATTTGTACTAAATAAATGACCTCATGCTTTCATTTTTGGACTGATGAAAAGCTGGGGCATGTTCTGCTAGTTGGCAAGACTCTGCTACTTAAACAACTGAATACTGCTAGTCTGGAAAAATCTTTTTTTCTGAAGCCAGAGCCATTAAGGTAAGGGTTTGAGACTCAACTATTAGGTCCACAAACAAGAACAACTTCATTTACTTTGCCCAGAGGGCTCGAAAGGAGTTCCTTTGCCTGTAAAATCTGTGGAGGTGAAATGCTTTTCCTCAATTAAAATTCATGATCCTAACAACGGAGCAGATACGAAGTCTTTATTGTAGATACTAGGGAAAACAGAATGAATTGATGGTAATTTTAATACAAAAACATTCACTTTCAAGATTGTTCCAAATACACAAGTCTGCACACTATACTCTGATTCATTAGAAACCTAAATATACTAGAAGCCTGATTTCTCACCAGGTGCGTCACTATGAGTCAAAACTTCCTCTTAGGGTTCAAATTTATTTCATGATAGTGATACTGAATTTCAGTAAATAATGCTCCACAGCTGGATAATATTAAAAAAAAACCCACCCAAGTATTATTTTTTAGAATAATACTGCCAATCAATTTCAGTGAATAACTTCAAAATATGTTTGACTACCTATGGATTTAGAAGAGATGAATCCCAAGTAATCTCAATTTCAGTGAATAACTTCAAAATAATGTTTGACTACCTATGGATTTAGAAGAGATGAAATCCCAAGTAATCTCTCTATTCCCAGTGGAGATATTGGTGAATCACGGGAGCATGGGCTATCTGGAGTGATGGAGAGAAATGACCACTATACCAGTTAAAATTTGAGTTCTTAAAGATTAGGATTTTGGTGGCCAAGTATTTTTGACAACAAATCTTTAAAGAGTTGCCTCAGAAAAGAGACACTGCGTCAGTTCAGTAGGCGAGAAATGACATAGCACCTTCTACTTATTAAAGAAAAACAGAGAGGTCAGTGATTAAACAAGCACTCATCCAGGTTTTGTACACTGTCTAAAGATAACTTTATCAAGATCAGAAAAACTGCAATCATACAGGTTAGGGGGAGAAAGCACTAAAGTTCAGTTACTAAGGGCACAGATCTGGTTGGTAAACAAGTTACCATAGAAAAAGCTACCCTGTGGTGGGAAGGGAAATGCCTACTCCCACTATCTCTCCAAACAAGGAATACATTCAGTTACATGGAGACAGACATCCTTGGGGACTGCTCTCAACAATTTCTATCATATGCAGTTCTTAAAAAGTAAAAAATATTATTGCCATTCTTGTGAGTTTTATAATATTTTTTTAGAGAGCATTTATAAGCTTTGGGGGGAAACAAAGAAGCAAACCCAGAATCACATGCCTTTATTTTGTAAAACTCTTTTGCAAAGCTGCCTTTTGCATGAAGCAGATTTTGCTTCTTTTGAAATACTAGATAAGGGCAGCAGAGTTTTTAAAATTTCTGACTATAATCCATGTTTTCATACTATATGAATACAGTAAAAAGCTAAGAAAATAAAAAGATTTCAAGGTAATGCCTACAGAGGCAGACACTAAAAATCTAGACTACACATATATCATCTATACACACACACCCAACCCTACAGCTTAACATTATCAAAAATGAAAGGTATCACAAGGGTAAGCAGAAGAACTTAAATCTTAGTTTTTCCTTCACTGAAAGCTATTCTTATTTCATATAAGTCACCTTTTCTTTTTCTTCTTAAAAAATATTTATATATTTATGCATATAGAACTGAGGTACAGGGGTGGTGAGAGGATTCACCAGAGCGGGGAGCAGAACAGGCAGATTGAAGAAGTACACTGCTGAGGGGAGCAGCAAGGGAGGCAGGGGCTGTCTGCTGTGCTATGTGGGTCACCTCCCCAGTCAGGGATTGAACTCATGCTGAAGGGGTGGCAGACAGCTGCGTAGTGCTGCACTTTAACCTGTTGCACCACCAGGAAGGGTCCAAGTCACCATTTCTTTTCCAGAATTGCCACCAAATGTGACCTCAAATCCATGTGGCCAGCCACTGATGCCCTAAATTAGGATAAAATTTAAAGTAGGGCCTGTGATCTTAGTATTTAGTCTCCAATGAATCTTAAATATAACCAGCTGATATTTTAGGGTGTGAGAAAAAAGCTAATATATTTCTGCAAACATTGGTCTAGAAATATATAGCTTATAGCACCATATATGTTTATAGACATATATAACTCTACATGCATTGGTAGTTTTTCTATTAGTTTTCTTTTATTCAGTCCAACCAAGCTTAATACTTACAATACAGAAAGAGAAGTGGGGAAGGAACACAAGAAAGTAAAGTCTAATCTATAGTACAAACTAGTAAAAGCTAGACAGACCACAGAAACCATTGACAATGCCAATCACAGGTTCTTCTTTGCCTTTCAAAATTTTATTATTCTTAGATCTTAGCAAATATTAACCTTTGTCTTCTAATCACTGGACTAATCTATGTTTTCCATTTTGTTGCCTTTTCACCAAACCTTTGAATCAGTCTTTTTTTTTTTTTTAAAGATTTATTTATTTATGCTTACAGAACTGGGGTACAGGCCAGAGGTGTAGTGGGTGAGGGTTTACCAAAGACAGAGTGGGGAGCAAAACAGGCAGATCTGCTGAAACACAATGCTGAGGGGAGTAGTGAGCAGGTCACTATTATAGGTGGAGAGGTCTGCCACGCCATGTGGGTCAGCTCCCTGGCTAGGGATAGAACTCATGCTGCAGTGGCTTCAGAGAGCTTCATAATGCAGTGCTTTAACCTGTTGTGGCACCAGGGAGGGCTCTGAATTGGTCTTTTTTTAACCAGGAGTCTTTTATATGCGCCAGATAACTGAGAACATTATTTACATGGTAATTTTTCTCAATTATCCCAATGATACGTATATCAAAAGCCATTCTAGAGTCTTTGGGTGTATGCAACGAGTACATGAAGACACTGAGCTTAGATTTCTCAAGAAATTCTACAATAATGCTAAATAAAAAGGAAACTTTTATTTTGTCACTTTAATGTTCGCAGTTACTTTACTACATAAAAATAGTTTCTAAATTCACCTAAGGAACATTCATTTACCAACATTTAAGCTCATATGTATTAACTCCTCATTTCTGTAGCTAGATACGTATCTATTTTGGTACGCTGGGGAGGTGGAATTTAGAACCGACCGGCAAATAGTAAATAATATATAACTAAAACTTAGGAAGTTGCCTTTCAAATGTTTTGAAATTTTTCTTAAGCCATGTAGACATAATACACACACGCACATACATATATCTATTTTGTTAGCTGAGCCTTATTTAATTATGAAAACTGCACACATCATTTTCCTTTCATTAAGCACTATATTCAAACAACAACACACTGGAGTCTATTGAGTTTTTTCTGTAAAGAGTGGAGAGTAAGTGTTTTGGGCTTTGCAGGCCACTGGGTCTCTATTATAACTACTTACTGCTGTTATAACCTGAATGTAGACAATAAATTGGCATTAATGGGTGTGGCTGTGTTCCAACAAAATTTTATGTTCAAAAATTGGTATAGAAAATTGTTGGCTGACACCTGACCTAGAGTTTAATGTTATATATGGTTGCCAGTTCAAGAAATATTTTTAGCTAATGATAAAGGTAAGATAAAGCCCTTCCAAGGAAGGGCTGGAAATAAATATGTTTTTTACTATCCAGCAGTACTACAAATTGATTTTGATTTCTTTTAAGTATTTAAGTAAGGAGTAGAGTTTTACACCCACCTAAAGTGTATTTATATGTGATTAATCTGGAAATGATCAAAAAAGCAGAACAAGTATTACTTCATTTTCTGATCTTGTAATTAAAAATAATTATCATTTATCTACTGTGAATAAAGTAGAAAGCTGACATCAGACAAACACATAGTCAAATGACCACACAGTTACATATCTACTCAAACTTATTAAAACACCTGGGCATTTTTGTTTTTCTTTTAGCACTAGTCCAAAATCTACTAAAAAATCTTATTTGTTGGGGCCGAAAATGAAAATTTAGAAAAGCTGTCTTAGTGATTCTAGGATTCTAGTTACGAGTGGAGGTTCCTTAGACTACTGAAAATGGAGCTTCCATATGACCCAGCAATTCTACTCTTAGGAATCTACCCAAAGGACATGAAAACATTAATTCAAAAGGATACTGCACCCCTATGTTTACTGCAGCATTATTTAAATAGGGAAGATATGGAAACAACACAAATGCCCAAAAACAGATGACTGGTTCAAGAAGATGTGGTATATACACAATAGAGTATTATTCATTTGCAGCAACCTGGATGGAACTGGAAGGGATTATGTTTGGTGAGATAAATCAGAAGGAAAAAAGAAAAAAACTGATGGCTTCACATACAGGAGGAATGTAGGGGGACCAAATAAGGGATCAGGAAAAAAATAATTAAATAAATTTAAAAACAAAATTAACAGGCAATTTTTAATCAAAGATACTCTGTAGGGGAGGAGAGGGAAGAATAATCAAAACAGGGGAGGGAAGAACACGAAGGACAATAGTTATGGTGCACAGCTAAACTGGTGGTGGTAATTTCACCGGGGCTATCCCTGAGAGGAGAAAGCATGCACTGTACAAAAAAGAAGAATGATGAAAATAAAATAATGATTTTGAAAAAGGAGTCACTGCTGGATATTTTAAGAAAAAAAGTTAAATTCTAAACATATTCTAATCTGTGGCCAGCAATTAGGTGTTAAAAGTTTAAATGCATGGGCTCTGGAATTAAATAAAAGCTGGATTCTAACCCCATTTCTGCCAATTCCAAGTAGCATAACACTAGGTAAATTTTTGTGCCTGAGCTTTCTTATCTATAAAATGAGTAAGAATAATAGCATACAACTCAGAGCATTGTTGGGAGAACTCAATATATAAAATTATTTGGCATAGTGCCTTGCACACATGAAATACCCAATGAATGTGAACTATTAGCACTCAATGTGCATTTTTTAAATTAAAAGAATGACAACAATAATATAATATAGAACAAACTCAAGGAAACAATCTCTTTAAAAACTGTCTGCACTTACCAGCAGAAGAGGTGTCCTTTTCCACAATCCACAGCAGGTGCTCTGAGCAAGGGGAAACTGAGTGTATCAGAACCAGATGTATTTGACCCTTGTTTTGTTAGTCTAACTGCTCTTTCACAGCCTCGAGTAGGACACCATTTAATGGCAGGATTATTTTCAACAAAGGCCTATTTAAACAACACAGTAAAACACAATAGAAAACATTTAAACTTTAAATTCTAATATACAATATACCTCTATGTCAATTTACTTCAAAGTAAAAACAGTGAAATAAAAAAGATGTAGTTAGTCTCAAGAAATACTTGAAACATTAATGGAAAACTGAGCAAGAAGGGAAAAGATTGGCAATTACTTAGTAATGATAGTTTTTAAATTTATGTTTTAACAAAGTATAAAAGCACACAAAAAATGAGCAACTTGAAAATGTTTTTTCATACAATGTGAGGCTATTAGATGAAAAATAATTATAAATAAAACTTATGATTATTAATTGGATCAGAACAGTAGATTTCTAAATGGCATCCTAAAAATATTTATGTTAAAGAAAGATCTATTTAAGTGCATCTACTAGGGCTTACACTACAAAATAGTTTTGCAAGGCAATGAAGATGCAACTATTACAATTACACATACACACACACAGAATAACTTGTATATCCTTCTGGATTATTCCTGAATGAAAATAAAGCTAAAAAAATTTTTCTATCTACATGTAGTTAATTTTTTAAAAGATTTATTTATTTATACATATAAAACTGGTCACAGGCCAAAGGTGTGGGGGGGGGGTAAGAGGATTCACCAGTGGGGAGCAGAACAGGCAGATTGACAATACACTGCTCAGGGGAGCAGTGGGCAGGTCAGGAGTGGTCTGCCATGCCATGTGGGACACCTCCCTGGCTGGTGATTGAACTTGTGCTGCAGTGGCTGTGGAAAGCACTGTAGTGTTGTGTAGTGCTGTGCTTTAACATGTTGTGCCACTAGAGAAGGCCCTTTTTATATGTAGTTATTACTTAAAAAAAAAAAAAAATCCATACAGGCCCTCCCTGGTGGCTCAGCGGGTTAAAGCACAGCACTGAGAATCTAAAAGCCGCTTCCCCATGAATTTGATTCCCGCCTGCCCTGGAGGTGACCACATGGTGCGGCAGACCTCTCCTGACCCACCCGCTGCTCCCCTCAGCAGTGTACTTCATTGATCTGCCTGTTCTGCTCCCCACTCTGTCTCTGGTGAAGCCTCTCATGGCTCCTGAGCCTCTGGCCTGTACCCCAGTTATGTATGCACAAATAAACAAATCTTTAAAAAAAAATCTATACATCTCCAAATTGATCCTCTTTATTGGTAAATATTTACCAGTATTTATTTATTTATATTTAGGAGTATATAAATTACGTCTTTTGGAAAACATCAAAGAGATAATTTGAACAGTACAAAGTTCATTTATTTTGAACAGTATCTTATCAATAAAAGTGTAACAGGCAAACTATAAATAGTTCTGGTATAAGACTTTATACCTTTTCATTTTAATTTCCTTTCATGATGATAAAATAATGCTTTAGCTTAAGACATTCATTAAGTTTAAATTCAGCAAGTTAAGTTCACATTCAGTAAGTTTTTTTTTTAATAATCTTTTTTTTTTTTAAAGATTTATTTATTTATTCGTATAGAACTGGGGTACAGGCCAGAGATGCGGAGGGTGAGAGGATTCACCAGAGATATAACGGGGAGCAGAACAGGCAGATCAAGGAAGTACACTGCTGAGGGGAGCAGAGGGCGGGTCAGGAGAGGTCTGCCTCGCCATGTGGATCTCTTCCGGGGCGGGCGGGATCGAACTCTTGCGGAAGTGGCTTAAACTTCTCAGTGCTGTGCTTTAACCCGCTGCGCCACCAGGGAGGGTCCCACATTCAGTAAGTTTTATGCTTTCAAAAATACAACAAAAAATTAAATAGAACCTGTTATATAGGTTTAATGAAATTAAAATTTTGTAAATTAGACTGATTAACTGGTAGTATACCTTAATATCAAACTGTAGGTATCGTTTGTCCATCTCCTTAGAAACTATACTTTCTATGATATCCACAGGTACAAGCTGGAAGCAGTCATATGCAGGGCAGAAAATGTTGTGAGCTTCACCTTCTTGAATTTTCAAGTTCAAAAACCTATTAAAGTTATTAAATGATAGAAAAATCCCCACAAGAACATAATTAATTTACATATAATTTTTTTCTATGAATCACACCACCTGAACCTTACTTTACTGGTACTTGATTTGACAAGAACTACTGAGGAGTAAGGAGAATCCTAGGTAGGCTGGTAACGTACCATGGAAAAACATAATTAGATCTTTCAAATTTAAACCCTTCTATGCCTAGTCTGTGATAAGTAGAGCAGATGGTTCCTGTGATAGAAATTTGGTGAGGCAGATCAAGGAAATTTTAAACACAGTAAGTAAATCCCTGGCTCATTTTTCACATATAATCCAAGATTAACAGTAGCAAACTTGGTAGAACCCAAGCAATACTCCCTACTATAATACAGTTAACAATTTTCCACTAAATCAAGCACTATACCTATAGAAGATTTTCTGCTTCCATAGAAGTAGGTGAAACTTTGCTATGGTATATAGCTGTGAACTCTGACTTCACAATTAGTTCAGCTGTGGTGAGTGCACAGATCTGACTCTACCTCAACAGACTCAGAATAGAGTCTAGTACCTACATATTTCAAAAAAGTATTATTATTTTACCCCTCCAAATAAAATCTTGCCTTACATACCAATGTGGAAAACAGACATAGAAAATGGAGTCGATGAAATCAGAGGGACAGAAAGATCAGTGGTTTCCTATGGACTAGACAGTTTGATGGTAGGAGGGTAAACGGTAGCAAAATGAGATGAATTGCAAGGAGAAATGAGGAAACTTTTGGAATTGATGGATCAACCCATTATCTTGATATGGTAATGGCTTCATGAATGTATTGTATACATATGCCAAAACTTATAAAATTATTTATTTTAAATTTGTGGTTTATTAAATAACAATTATGCACTAACAAAGTTGTTTAAAAAATAAACATAAAAATTCACTCATATGCAACACAATGTTCTCTAGCTCTCTACTCTGGTACCCAGTACATACACCATAGAAAATAATAGTTTATAAACTTCTTATTTTTCAGACTTAAGACTTCTTAAATACTAAAGACATGCTTCACATAGGTCAGAAGATATATGTGTCTCACAGATAGTATGATATATTGCTCAGTATGTTGTTTCAATTTTGTCTATACACCACTATCAAAAAGTATAACAGAGCAAAGTAGATAGATTGTGTGTAATATAAATCTTGACAAGATAATGGGAAGGAGAAAAGAGATAAACATGGGAAGCAAAACAAAAGTTCCATTTGTAATATGTGCCCAAGCATGCTTAACAGAGGCGTCCAACTTTGAATTGATTAAAAAAAAAAAAAGTAAATATCCATATAGATTTTCAAGGCCATTTGTCAGAAAAAGCATTAAGGCAAAAGCATTTGTCAGAAAAAGCATTAAGGCAAATGCTTGAAAATTCCAGGAGTATTAAGAAACTGATTCTTGATATTTAATTGTAGGCATAAAATTTACATTAGATACATTATAATTTGATATATTTAATAGTTATTTATTTATACCTGCTTTGTTCCCAAAAGTATCTTACATAAAGCTAACTACACTATGAAATTAAATAAATTTGCTAAATCAATAGATGAGAAGATGTCAAAATAAGAAAATTAAATTCTGCCTCAGTAAAATGTCATAAATTTCAATGTAATTCTGAAATCAACATAAAGAATTCATCATCATTAAATATGGGAAGCAAGAGACCTGAATAACAAATCAGAATACCAATGCTATCATAAAATAATACTGAGTTGCTCAGAATACTCACGATTCCCAACATCCTCTACAAAAGTCATGTCCACAGGGCATATCCACTGGGTCTTCAAACACAGAAATACTGCACATACAAATGTCACACTGAAGATGAAAGAGCAATGGCTTAAAGTCATACTTTGGAGAAAGACAATCTACTGGTTATTACTTTAAGTCAAAAGTACTAACAGAAAATTACGTGTTTTAAAGTTATAAGGGAAGTTAAAATTAATGTGCTCTCCTTTGATTGAATAAATAATACTGTGTGAACACCATTATGAACTACTTTGGAATCTAAATGCTTTAATATAAAAGACAGACTCTTAAATTTCATATTTATGTGTTAAATTAACCAACAATTATGCATTTAGAAGGGGAAGTATAAGCAACAATCATCACAATCTATTCAGGTCAAGATCAAATTGACCACTGCAAAATAACCACTTTTTAGTTATACCCTTCACCCTGCACTCAACCTAAAATATATACACAGAGTAACACTGTATTTGCAATCAGGCAACATAGGATATTCAGAGTAACAATTTAAAGACTTCTATGGAGTGTACTGTGCTACGAAAACTGTATCTTCTAAACAATGACTTGCTAGAAGCAAACATTGTTTTATATCTACATACTGATATCTCTATTGATCTACTGATATATTCTTATCTCACAGAACAGGAATCTATTTTCTAAAAAGGTCTAGATAAAACCAGGAGTGCTTTCATATTTATCACATATTTTCAGTGACTGAAATCATTTAAGAAACAGCAAAATTTCCTATGGAAGTATACACTGATGGTATAAATATGCTGACAACAGCAATACTGTGCTTCTCAATAAAAAGCAAGCCTTTATTTTGGAAAATGATCTAGATGACAAACTTCAGAAACTTATTGAAATAACTGTATAATTATCAATACAAGTGAATTCAAGAAAATTAAAAATATATACATTATTTTGTATAAAGTACCTACCACTAACAAATTTTAATATTTCAGTATGACGCGTTTAACCTTAAGTACTGGAGCTTTTTAGTGAAAATCTAACAGATGTTTCTAAACTCATTTTTATGCTATTTGATTTGAAATGAGAAAGGAAAACCTTTTGCTTTTCAGTCTCTACGTTAAAGGACATAAAACATTCTGTGATAATAAAAATGTACTCAAGTGTGAAATAACTGAGTAAGAAGAGTAGAATGTGATTAACGGGTCCAAGAAAAAATGTTAAATAAGTTAAAAGACTCAATACAAGTCTATAGGAAGTACATTGAATACCAAACCATACCAAACTGGTATCCAAGTCCCCAGGAGATAAACTTATTTCATCTGGTGAGGTGACAGAAGAACGTGTAGTCCTTGGAGTCCTTGGAGACGGGAGCGTGTCCCAGGCATTACACCCACTTGGTGGAGGGGTTGGCATTTGGACACCTGATCGTTGGCAGCAGTTCTCTGGGTTGGACATCCAAGCTTCAAGTAATTTCTCCCTGTCCCAGTCTTTAAGAAAAATGGAATGGATAGCTCTCAAAAAACAGAGGAAAATGGTGATATTTTCAGAGCTTAATAATAAAAAAACAAACTGAGGTCATAAAAGGAAGAAAATATATTTATATCAAAGTAGTAATTGTTATACCCATCAGTATTTTTTAAAGATTTGTTTACTTATGCATACAAGAACTAGGGTGTAAGCCAGAGGTCAAGGCAGGCAGACAGGGGGATTGAGAGGATTCACCAGTGAGAGTGGGGAGCAGAACAGGCAGATGTACTGAAACAAACTCCTGAGGGGAGCTGCAGGTGAGACACGAAAGGTCTGCCATGCCATGGGGGTCAGCAACCTGGCTGGCAGGGGATAAGTGACAGTGGCTGGCAGCTGCTTGACAGCACTGTCCTTAACCCCTATGCCACCAGGGAGGCTGACGATCAGTAGTTTTTAAACAGAACTTGAACATTAATAATTTGCCATGGTTTACATCCATGTCAATATCTAATAATATGACCAAAATACCTAGTCATTTCTACTAATAATCAAAAGAGGTAGCTCACAAATCACTTTTAGAATTTACTACATTTTCGTTGGCATTGCTTTAATTCATTCAACTCTTCCAAGGAAACATGTCCTTTGTCAATTGGCTTCATTACCATCAAGTTGCAAAATGACTACATAGCTCACCAGAAACATGTTAAAATGCCAGTAAGTCCTAAAGATCATTTGGTAAATAGTTTAAAAGCAGAAAGAACATATGAAAAAATTGTTATAAGTAAAATTATAGTGAATTAGGTATAAATTCTGTATTAAGTGTCTTGACATTGGCTTAACTAAAAAGATTATATTCTTATTATGAATAGTATACTTTTAAAATAGCCAAGTGAAGCATTTTACTATAAAGTTCAGAGCCATAAGAATCTAACCCTTTAAAAACAATAAGCAAACATATTCAACTATTTTGCTAGCTGTTTTACTCACATTATTCATTCATTCCTCCGACAAATTTTTCAATCATTATTTATTGGGAAGTAACTATGACTGAATGAAGTTATATAACTTGTTGAGGCTCACACAGATAGTGAGGTATTCGAAACCAATCTGTGTAATTCTAAAGCCTATGGCACAATAAAATACACAGTCAAGAATAATACAGAGTCAATTATTTATACCAGGTCCATTCTACACAGTTTGAGAGCTCAAATACAAATAGCTATGGCAATTTTCTATATTAAGAATTTTTTCAACCAAATTAATCTATTTGGTGGCTTAATAGAAACATAATGTCTCATACATGCAATGAAGACAGAGTGCATTTCCAATTGTATAAACTGCATGTGCAGAGACACAGAAGTATGGAATACATGAGCAGTTTTGTAAAGTTACTTATATTATGTTGCAGTTTGAGATGGCAAATAGGATGATAAACAAGGTTCAGGTCACACCAAAAAGGAAAACTTTACAAGTGAAAAGAAAATGTGTATGAATATATTCCAGAAAATATTGTTAAATGAACCTCTGTATTTTGATAAGTCATTACTTAGAAAGTTAAAAATATTTTTCTTAGAACAGCATTGTTTTTTATAATGTTACTCCTTAATAAAGAAAAAAACAAACTTGTTTTATATATACAGATATTAAATATGCCAAATTTTATCTATTATAAATATTTTTTAGCATAATTTCTGCTTGGATTCTATTACTTCATTCATTTAGCAACACTTACTGAATGACTTTTAGGTGTCATGCATTTTGCTAGCGATAGGGAAAACAATGCGTGGTAGAAAAAAATCAGGTATGATTCCTGCTGTTATGAAACTTAAAGCCTAGTAAGGAGAAAGGCATTAGAGTAAATACACTGGGGAAAAAAAACAAACCAACCAAAATCACTACTACAAGAAAATTCATTAAGGAGAGGTGATAGATATTTTCAGTCAGAATCTGGGGGAAATGGCTTGGAACAGACATCTGAAGGATGTGTCTTAGTTAACTAAATACAAGGGAGAGGTAAAGACATTCTACAAAGATGGAGTACAGCATATTCAAAAGCATTGTGGTAGAAGGCAAGGTGACACCTTGTTGAAATTAAAAAGTCAGTGTAGCCAGAACATGGGAACAGACAGGGAGTACTATATGAAGATAATGAAAAAGTAGGCAGAAGCTCAGCCACACAGAACATTTTCATAATATTTCTATCATCTTACAAGTGGTAAGAAGAGTGAAAAGTGGCACTTGGGGCTAGAAAGGGAGGTTATCATAATCAGACTTGAAAAGATAACTGTGATTACATTATAGAAACAAATTGGACAGATCAAGAGCATTGGGAAGTAAAGCAGATAGGCTACTTGGTAGTGTGAGAAATAATGACAACTAGAGTTAGGTGGTTGGTTGTAGTGGAGGTGAAAGGAAATGGAGAGGTTTAAGCTTTGGGAAGTGAAACTAACAATTTGGTGACAACAGGATTTAGAATCTAAAGGAGATGAAATATCAAAATTGGTGTCCCAGGTTTACCTATATTGTTGGTTGGGGCTGCAATCTATGTAAATAGGGAGTATTAGATACTCAGAAAAAATTTAAAATAAACAACCAGTAAGCTGATTAAGTGCTTTGATTCTTTAAAAGAAACTTCCTATTTTTCTCCTATGATCTACAACTATACAAAATGTTGTAAGGATGCCGAGTACTACAGTAGCGACAGCACAAAAAAACTTAGGCTTGTTTAACAAATTATTTTGTTTCATATTAAAATAATAAAACAGCCACCATTAAACTTTGAAACGTTTCAAAGGCATCCATGTTCTTGTAAGAGATTTAATTACCATGAGCTCGAAGTAAAGCTTCAGCAGTAAATAGTGGAGCCTGAAGCATGTCTGCAGTTTCCACAATAAGCATATCTTTCAATCTACGAAGATCTTGAGGCCTTAATCCTTCATAGGGCTTTGAAAAGAAGAGAAAGAAAGTTAGGTTCGCTGTTATACTCTCAAGAAGTTCTAAATTCTTATAAATAAATATATATGATTTCTATTTATTTAATTGTCTTATTTCAGTTTGGATAAAGGCTCATTGTGCTTCATGATCATGAACTTCAAATTATTCTTGTACAAGTTTTTTTTTTTTAAACTGGAAAACACATCAGGGCTCATGTAATCTACTGTTCTAAAATAATATGTTCTATAATAACAAAGTTGTCTTATTTTACAGTCTTGAAAATATAAAAAAAATTAGACAAAAACCTATATTCCCACCACTGATCAATAATCATAATTAAAATAAACAATTTTTTCTGTTTTTTTTCCTTTTGCAACTGACTGCATATGAATATATATATATATTCATTTAGTCAGAAATGATTATTGAGTTACTCATTTTTGCATATTAAGATTCAAAGTGAATTGCTAGTGGGATTTTATATTATACCCATTAGTTAATTTGTATAGAAGTGAGCATGCCATACTATTCAGACTTCCTACTGATAAATTCTTGTTTGTTTCACATGTGTCCTTATCATCACTGGTCTTCTATTCTTTTGTAATCTTTTTAGCCCTTGTTTTTTAACAGAAAACATAATATAATCACAAGTGTTTCATTATTCGGAAACAATTATTGACATCTGTTAATATAACCTGTAACATATTTTCCCCAATGGAATTCACTAACTATTCCATCGTTGCTTATAGCAATCACTATCATGAACTTGTTTTATAACAGTATTTATATATGTACATATGTAGACAAATCTATCTTTTGTATATGTACCAATTTGCCTTTAATTTATTATCAACGTTAATAACATCTTTATTCCTTTAAACAGTTTATTGCAGTGAGCACAGAACTGAGGCAATAACTTAAAAAGCAGCAGAAATTCCCTTGTGTTTATCAGAATAACAGCCATTGAAGATGTCCTCTGGAAGCATCAATCAGACTTCAGAGAGTTCTGCAGTTAGCAAGCTTCATCAATTATAGCCTATTTGCAGATAGTTTAGAACTAGCATTTTTATTTCTTGCTTTGATGGGGGGATTATAAAAACAATTTCATTAGTTCTACTAACCCCTGTGATTAGGACTTTATTCACCAGGGTTAATTTCTCTCAAGAAGTTCCTGATTCTCAAAAATATTCAAGCAGGAATGTATATATAAGCAACAAGTGCATTAATGACAGAAAGGCTGACATACTTGATTGTATAAAAATATTATTTGAATTAAGAATTAATATAAATTCTATCTAGCAATTTGGCCAATGTTAAAAAAAGAAAAACAGTCAATATTATAAGGTTTCTGTGAGACAACTGAGTAAAAACAAAAATTGGTTAAGTCATTTAACCAAGCATCATAAGCTTTTACAACATTCATCTTTTGATTCTATAATTTCATTTTTTTGGAATCTATTCCTATTAGGTATAATCACTGATGGGGACAAAATCTGCAATGTTCCTTATAAAAGTGACAAAATGCAAGGAACACAAATGTACATTAAGGGAGTTTGGGATAGCTATGTGTTAGAATAATTGACATTCAAAATGATTTTCATAATGAGTTTATAAATATCAAGAAGTGTTAAGGGAAAAACTCTATAGAATAAAAAAATATACAATAGCATATTTTATGGAAGGCAATCATACAAATGTTACAAGTTTTATTTATAGTAATGAAACATTTAAAATTTTTGTTCTGCTTCTTTTTATAAAGAACACATTTTACAGAAAAATAATTTAAAAATTATTAAGAAATACTAAGAAATGCAGAACACATACGCAAGTGTGCTCTATTCCTTTTAAATATGGTATGGAAAATGTTCACCAAATGTACTGCATAGTACACTGCAATAATACAGTCTCTCCACTTGTGTATACACTTGATGATGTTACAATAAATCTCTCTCTATACTGGGATACCAGGATCTTAATTAGAAAAAGAAAATAAAAATTTAACTAAAACTATTCTGTATAGGGGTAATTCTGTATGAACTAAGAATTAAATTACAATTTAATCTTATCCTTGAAAAGCTCGCAAATCATGTATAGTTTACCTTTAAGCTAATATATGAAAGATTCTTTCCCCTAACAAAACCTAACAAATTCGGTGATAGCAAAATTTGTAGTATTCACTCAATGTGAATGTGCTCCAAATTCAGGCTCTCCTGAATCTACGTACCTCTCTTGCTCCAGCAATAAGGGCAAATATTTCTTGTTTTTAGCAATGGCAATTGTATATTTCTTGGTATTATTCCCTATATGTTCTTTGTTAGATTAGCTATCATCACTCTACCTCATTTTTGTTGACTCAAATACAATTTTATTTCAGATATATTAAGAACATATAATACAAAGCAATCTGCAAAGGCTAAATTTTAAATACAGTTTTAAATTTAAATAGGTTACAGTGGAAGAAAAAAAATTCTTGAAGGAGAAAGACATACTGACTTCCTGAACACAAACCATATTCACGCCAAATCTGCAACAAAACTATAATTAGATCAGCTAAGCACATCAATACAAAAATGAAGAAATCTTTCTCTTTCCCGTTTTGCAAAGGTACATTGTTTCTATTTTCAGGTTAAACACAATTAACAACCCTCAAAGCAATTGGTACTGAAACAAAGAAAGAGAGGGAAACTAAATTAAAAGAGTGAGGGAATCCCCTGGTGGCACAAAGAGTTAAAGGGAAGCACTACGAAGTTATTCACAGCCACTGCAGCATAAGTTCCCTTGTGGGAAGTGACCCACAAGGCGCAGCAGATCTCGCCTGTCTGGCCCACTGCTGCCCTCAGCAGTGTGTTTCAGTCAGTCAACCTGTTCTGCTCCCCATTGTGTCTCTGGTGAATCCTCTTCCACCCTGCACCTCTGGCCTGTACCCCATGCATGCATACATAAATAAATATATTTTTAAAATTATCTTTTTTGAAATAGTGGTAATGCATACTATTGCCAACAAAATACCACTGAAAAAAAAGACGAAACATAAAGTTGGGCTATTTGATATATATATATATGTAAAGTAATAGCAACCTTCAAATACTGCTAAAGAAAAAATACGACAAAGGAGTTATGAAATAAGTATTTGCTTTTAAGTGTTTTGCCAAATGAAAATAGCTTTTCCTCCTCATTTTACAAGTAAAACATGTTTCAAAAAAAATAAAAACAAGTATTTACTTAACCAAATATATTGGTAACTGTTAAAATTTTAAGACAGAGGAGAGGATATTTCCAATTCCTCTTAATACTAATCCCTCACTAGTTGAGCTTAACCCAGGAGAGAAGGGAAGGATTAGAATAAGTCTTTAGGATTTTCAGAAGCTTCATTTAATTTCCACTGCCCTTATTAAGTAGTTTCACCTGGGGATACAGACCCAGGCTACCCTGTTCTGTACTTTAACCTAAAAGAAAGGTAGCAGCTCTGCAGAGTACTGGGGTAGTTAGTTAAGCCAATATCCAGCAATGGGTTGTGTATCAGAAAAAGAGCCCTGTACCTACCTCCCTGAGCTAGGAAGATTCTTAAGATGGCTTTTTGTATTAGTGTATCACTCACTTTTTTTTTTTTTTAAAGATTTATTTATGCATACAGAACTGGGGTACAGGCCAGAGTTGCTGGGGGTAAGAGGATTCAAAAGAGACAGAGTGGGGAGCAGAACAGGCAGATCAACGAAGTACACTTCTGAGGGGAGCAGCAGGTGACACAGGAGATCTGCCACGCCTATGGGTCACCTCAGGGGCTGAGGCCCAAACTCGCCCTGAAGGGGCTGGGGCAAGCCTACAGTGCTGCGTCCTAACCCGTTGTGCCACCAGAATCTACTCTTACAGAGTCTCAACACTCAATAGTTTCTCTGCTCTTTGGGGGGTGGGTGAGGGGGAGGGGAGAAGATATACTGAACTCACTCCAAAGAATGTTAGTCATTATTGTAGCACCTCACCTTGTTTTATTATTTCAACAGTTAAGATGTGTTCATTTACTTGTTAAACTTATTTGTGTGCATTCTCTCTCTTTATGCTAGAATAGGTCAAAGGTTTATCTTTTTTTTTCTCGCTGTATCTCCAAGTTCCTAAAAATGTGGCAGAAAAGTCACTCAACTTTATTGAATAATGGACTGAAGAAGTAAATTTTATCCACTAACAAAAAGACATTCAGAAAAAAGGACTTAAATAAATGACATGTGTACAGTCAGATCAATAACTGAACCTAGGAAGTTAGTTAAAACAAACACTTCACTTTGAGTATATAAGCTTTTTAAAGTATCCAATCATGTAGCTTTAAACAATCCAAAAGTTGATCAGGGTCAAAGTAGAAAGTACAAGAATAAATTTTAACGAAAACAGATTTTTAAAAAAAACTGTTGTGAAACACAGAGCTAAAAATTAACCATTTTAAGGTGTACAGTGGACCTTGTACATTGACAATGTACAAGACAACCTGTATCAAGTTCCAGGGTATTCTCCCCACATCCCAAAAAAACCTCTACCAATTAAGTTGTCACCCTTTGTTCCTTCCTTTTCCTTGCCCCTGGCAAGCACTAATGTGTTTTTTGTTCCTACAGATTAACTTATTATGGATATCTCATATAAATGGTGTTATTTAAAATATGGCTTTATATGTTTAGCTTCATTCACTTAGTATTTTTTTGAGACTGATTCATGTTGTGGCATATATTAATACTTCATTCCTTTATATTACTAATATTCCACTGTGATCTATCTCATATTTTATTTGTCCATTCATCTTTTGATAGAAATTTGGGTTGTTTTCAACTTTTAACTAATGTGAATAGTATTGCTGTAAAACATTTGTGAATAAGTACTCATTAATGAAAATATTATTCTTTATATTATGGAATGGTAGATAAAAATAAATTCAACATGGATTAAAAATGAAACTAGAAAAATATAAGAACATGATCATACTATCAGCATGTCACAAAGTAAGAAGCCATAATTCAAATATGCACATAAACACTGAATACCCTATAAATAGACAACTTAGGATACTGAAAACTACACAAAGTACTCTTAGAAAGTATCAAGAATATACAGATAATACATAAATTAAAAAGCAAGTAAACAATTCATAGCATATTCAAATAAATAATTTCCAACAAGTACAAATATTCTTCCAAGTTGTAAAAAATAATTCAATGCTAATAAGAACATAATGTTACTGAACAAAAAATAAACTGATATTCTTTTAGGGCAGGCAAAGCATCCATTCAAGTCTAGAATGTGCGGATCTTATCAATCAGGGGTAAAGGCTGGAGGTACGGGGATGTGAGAGGATTCACCAGAGACAGAGTGGGGAGCAGAACAGGCAGACTGACGAAGTACACTGCTGAGGGGAGCAGTGGGCAGTCCAGAGAGGTCTGCTGTGCCATGTGGGTCGTCTCCGGGACTGAGATCGAACTGACACTGAAGCCGTCCAGCTTGCAGTGCTGCATCCTAACGCGCAGCAGCACCGGGATGGTGAGGGCCAGGAATATACTTTTAAAGTATCTCTCTCTATATATAGATCAAATAGTAATAATGAAGGTATATGATCATAATAGCAGATACTCAAGAATTAACACTTACAATGAACAAACACTATTCTAAATACTTACACATATTAACTCATTTAAAGAGTTAAAGCCCTATGAAGTAGAGATCATTATTCTCTACACTTTTAACAAATAAGAAAGTGATGCAGAGACATTTGGTAACTTGCTCAAGGTTCCATAGTAACTAAGATCATAGTCTAAAGTATGATCCCAGTTAGCTGGCTTCATAATGCATGTTTCTAATTACAAAAACTAGAGAACTGGATAAAGATAAAAATAACAAGCAGACCAAAAAAAAATACTTATTTTGATTTTGTATTTAAAGGCAAAGCCAGTTAAATTATTTAAATGTTCATCAACAGGTAAGTGGCTAAAATACATAGATCATATGTTCTGACTTGGGAAAGACGCTCATCATATATTGCTAAGTTGGAAAAATATTTTACAAACTCAAACATACTTACCTTGACATTAAAAATTCTATATGCATATGCATTTCCTTAAGTCTGATAGCATATAGAAGAAATTTACTACTAGTAGATAGTTAGGAAGAAATAAATGTTTTCAGCAGTAAAAATTCATTACAATTTTTAGGGAAAGCAGGAAAACAAAAAGTAATATTAATGACAATTACTGATAACCAGAATTATCATTTTGTTATACTTTGATCTTCTCATAGTCTTTGTTATAATTAGTATGCAATTGTTTGATAACTTGAAAAAAAGTATTTATACAATTACCATTTTGTTATCTTTAATCTTCCAATATATAGTTTTTGCTATAATTAGTATTCAACTGTTTGATAACTTGGAAAAAAAACCAGTTTACTATAGTAAGTTTAGAAATATCTTAATATCCATAAAGAATGCCACTATTATCTGATTTAGTTATAAATTAGGAGAGTCTGGGAGAAAAAAGTTTATAAAGTCCTAAATGTAATCACAATCAAATTAATCATATTAATGTAATTTCTAGAATAGTACTGCTTAAATTTTATCTTCTGACTAAATTACATCAATAATTTCTATCTGACTCAAGATCACAGAATGTCATATGGTAGGCAACATACAAAATACAGATGACTAGACTTGAAGTCAGCGTATTAGGTTTAGCTTACTTTGATCTTGGCAAGTTATTCAAACATTTTCTAGTTTAAAAGAAGGGCAAGTAGCTGTAATGTTACTGTGTGGATTCTACTGTAACATGAAAGTAGTTAGGACACTGGTCCTCTCAGAATACTTAATCTAAATAACCACTCCTTGAAAAACAAACACCTTAACTCAAGAAACATGACAGGCAAAGAAATCTTCTCATTCCAAGACACTCAGCTGTTTTGGTCAACTGTACAGTACAGAAGCTCAAAAATTGTGGGGAATTCTTGGGAAAGATAAAAAAAATCTGATTATCTTTCTAAATGCATGCAAATAATAGTTACTTATAGATGGAGGCAGCACTGTGAAGATCGAGGAAACAGAATCATTTGGGGAGTAAACAGTTGATTATAATTTGTAATTTAAGCACGTATCTATGGATGCTCATTGTGCATGCTGTGTTAAACAATGAAAATACTCTGCTGAATAAAAACATTTATGATTCCACTCTCACAGAGCTGACAATCTAACAAGGAGAGAAAGCTAATAAGTAAGTAAACAAATACATGAACGAAATAATTATAGCATGTGTCAAGCTCTAAGAAAAATAAACAGGACACTATGGTAAAGAATAATGGAAGGAGAATGAACCTTTTTAAGAAAAAATGGTCCAAGATTGCCTCTCTGAATAACGAATATTGAGTAAGTCAAGAGAAAAACTTCAGACATAGGTAACAGCAAATGTAAAAAGCCTTGGTATAGTCTAAGTATTATAATAAGAGCGAAGAAAAAAGGTCTGAGATGATGCTGGAGAAGTAGGCAGCAACCAAATCATATGAGGTATTATATCTGAGGAGTTTGAGTTTTATTCCAAGTAAGATGAAAAGTCACCAAGTCACTTAAGTATACATTTATCATTTAATTAAGCTTAAAAATGTCACTCGAATGGAAAGAAATAAATTAGGAAACTATTATAGTAGCTCAGATGAAAACTGAGAGTGGCAGGTAGGTATGGCATTTGGAATAGAAACTGGGAGGAGCAAATGGAGTTTTGTTACATATTTCTGGAGGAAAAATTGACAGGATGTCCAGATTGTATGGATGTAAGGAGAAGTATGAAAAAGAGAGTGTTTGCCACATTTATAGGTTGTGTAAACTGGTGATGGAGGTAAGTTAACTGAAAAGAATAATGTCCTTAAAGGCAAGAAAAGAGTGTTTCTTTAAGAAGATCTTTAAGAAGAGAATGATCAATTGTGTCAAGTATTGCTGAGGAATTCAAGTAAAATGAAAGAGAAGATTACCTACTGGATTTAGCAGTCAGGTGACTCTTGACGTCTATGACAATACAGTTCCATTTCAGTAGAAGGGAAGAAAATCACATTGCAGTAGGCTAAATGTGAATGGCAATGTGTAGTTGGTCCAAACAACCCTTTAAAGATTAGTTTTGTCTTCATATGAAGATCAAAGATATGGGATTACAACTCAAGGTGGGGTCAAAGCAGGGTTGGGTAAGAGTGGACAAAAGAAATTGCTTGTTTTAAAGATAGTTTATCAAAGCATGTTAGGGGTAAGAGCAATCTAGAAGACAAGAACACAGAAACCGGAGTCCTGGATTAATAGGAGTGATTAGGATTCATATTACACATTAGAATCTCCATTTAACAGGAAGTAAATACCCTCACATGTGTTAGAGGAAAGATTCCACTATTCAGTTTTCCTTGATGTATTTTTATATGCATGGCCATGTAGTTAGCATATTTCAGAGAGTATATAAATTGAGTTTTAAAGAAAAAATATAAAATCCATGTAAGTTTTTAGTAAAAAACTTACCTCTCGTTTGTCTAATGCAGCATATTCAGCTTCTATTTCTTCAGCTTCTGGATCTCGGGAGAACACCATTTGAGATTCCAGATTGAGGGCCAAATCTTTGTGGTGTTGCTTTTCAGCACAATCACAAGGAGTATCTTTATTCTCATTCTCAGCAAATAAGTCTCCTCCATGTTTTACTAAAAGCTAAAATAGTTTTGTGTTTTAAAATTTGCAACCATAAATTTAGATGACAAGTTATTTCATGCTATATTTTAAACAGAATAATAAAATAAGCACAACAAAAATACAACAGTGTATATTTAAAAGACAGTAAGTTATTTAGATACAAGGGCTTCTAATTTTAAGAGTAGCAATTTTGTTTGTCAGTATTAAGGTGACTTTCTTTGGTTACAAATAATAAAATCCAATTTGTAAAATTAAAAAAAAAATTCTTAAGCATTCTGTCCAATCCAAAAATCAAATATACTTAAAAGGGAGAAAACGGTTTTCATTTGTATCACTTATTACCCAAAGACTAAAATGAAATTAGGATATGCAAGTCAATGAAGCAAAACCTAATTTTTTTAAAAAGTAAATTTCGGGCCCTCCCTGGTGGCGCAGCGGGTTAAAGCAATGCACTGAGAATCTAAAGCCTCTTCCGCATGAGTTCAATCCCCGCCTGCCCCGGAGGTGACCACATGGTGTGGCAGACCTCTCCTGACCCGCCCGCTGCTCCCCTCAGCAGTGTACTTCGTTGATCTGCCTGTTCTGTTCCTCACTCTGTCTCGGGTGAAGCCTCTCACCGCCCCGAGCCTCTGGCCTGCACCCCAGTTCTGTATGCACAAATAAATAAATCTTAAAAAAAAAAAAAAAGTAAATTTTGTATTTAATACATGTATAGGAATAAAAACACAAGGATTAGAATTGTGTAATATTTGTGAAAAAGATGTTCCATTTTGCAAAGCAGTTTCCCTATTTTCCTGTTGTTTCTATCTTCCTCAAAGCAATAAACAGTAATTACTACTTTCATAGATACATTGCTCCATTGTGTTGGAGAGTAATTATATCTTTATGTTTCAAGTCATTATCACCTCCAAATACTCCCTTTTATGTCACGGCAGTATCACTGCATGGCTTCACAGTAAAACTGTATTCTACTCTAACTGGAGGAGTCCAAAGAAGTTAAGAGAAAACAGCAGTCAGATTCATGTGAATGAAAGCTAGAGGGCCAAGGACTGTTTTCTTTTTAAAGATTTATTTATGATTACAGAGCTGGGGTACAGGTCAGAGGTGTGGTGGGTGAAAGAACTCACCAAAGACAGAGTGGAGAGCAGAACAGGCAGATTGACAAGGTACACTGCTGAGGGGAGCAGCAGGCGGGTCAGGAGATGTCTGCCACGCCATGTGGGTCAGCTCCCTGGCCGGGGATTGAACTTGTGCTGCAGTGGCTTCAGAGCGCTTCAGAGCACTATGCTTTAACCTGTTCTGCCACCAGGTAGAGCACAGGGCCAAGGATTTTTAAGTAGTTCTTTAGTAACAGTGTCTACTAGTACACCTTCTATTTATTCATATTATTAAAACTATTATAATATAAAATGTAAGCTAATTTAATGGACTCAGGAATGAGGTCATTAAATATAATTAATTACATCTTAAATGCAAATACCATGTATTTCCTGATTTGTATCAGGAAAATACCTTTAGTTTCAGAAAAAAAAGGTCTGAGACAATTATGAAGAAGGTGATTCACATTATCAGGTCCATTTTAAAACATGAGATACTTCACAAAAAAATTGCTTTAATCTTTGTTTTCGTCAGAGATTTCTACTGGTCCTTTCGTTGGTAGTCCATTCACGTCCATTCCTTTATAGTCTCCTCTGCTTTTACTTTACTACTGCGTTCTTACAGCATTTAACAGAGGGAAGATGAATTTTTTGTAGGCCCACAGAATTGGAATGACAACACAATGAATGCACACCACTGTCTAAGGTGGTGGGCACCTTAACATGACCACCAAGCCCAAGTGGAAGCAACAAAATGGTTTTGAATGTTCCTTAAAATAAGTGATAGGAATAGCTACTAACACTGGAGCACCTGTTACAGACAAGGGGTGAACTCTGCTTGAAGAACATGAAACAAGACAAGGGTGCCCACTATCACAGCCTCTGTTTAATTTAGTAAAAGAGGATTTAATTAGAGCAATCACACAACATTAGGAAATAGAAGTGTAACTGTGAGGTAGATATGCTAATAGAATGTTTACATTAAGTTTTGCCTTCTCACAGCAATGTGAAACAGGAGTATGGGTGCTACAGAACTAAACTCAACCCCAAGATAGAAAGCGAGCACCATGCAGCAAAAAGGGGCGCAAGAATGGTGGGTGGAAAAGGAGGTGCTCTGAGCATGATTATCAACTCCACACTTAATTTAAGATGGATTAGTCCCTAAATAAAAAAAAAATCCCTCTGTAAATAGTGGAGGAAGTATTGGAAGAAGGTGTTTTTGAACACAAGTTATCCCTTCTGCATTGTTTCTCAAGCAATTAAGTTATTGCCCTGTTAAACCAAACCTGGTAACTGAAATTTTTTATTCTGGTTACCTGCAAACAAACTCTCATTTTAAGCTACAGGCATGGGATGGGAGTTGGGAGTGGCTGTGACACTCAAAAGCCCTATAGAAGACATTAAAAAACCACTAGAAACAATAAAAGGAATACAGTAAATGACATTACAAAGTCAATATACAAAAATCTATGGCACTTCTATATACAAATAAGAAAAGGAAATTAAGAAAATGATATATTAAAAATAGTTTCAAAAAGAATCAAGTACTTAGGAATTAATCTAATCAAGGAGCCAAAGGATTCAAAAATGAGAATTTCAAGATGTCATTAAAGGATACAGGTCATTGTATAAATTGATAGAAAAACATTCTGTGCCCTTGAATGAGTCAATTTAGTAAAAAAGACTATTCTACCAAAAACAATATATAATTTTTAACATAATCCCTATTAAAATGCTAAAGGTATTATTGAACAAAATTGAACAAAAATTATGAAAGCTTTGGGAAACATTATCAGTCTTGAGGAACATATGCAATCCTGAGGAAAAGAGAAGCAACTTGTTATATGACCTTAAATTATACAATGAAACAATTATAATAAAACCAGTATGATACTGGAATAAAAATAGACAACTGTGTGAATGGAACAGAATTAAAATTTCATCAATAAAACCATGTGTATATCAGGACGTAATTCATGGTAAAGGAACTGTGACCACACAATGGGGGACAGAGGGTCTCTAGCAAATGATGCGGGAAAACCAGATAACCACATGAAATTGGATCACTCCCTGATTCTGTGAACAAAAATAAATTCTAAATGTATTCAAAAGTTAATATTTAAGACTGACAATAATAGAATATATAGAGGACAAGGGTCAGTGACAGATCCTATCACATTTTTTAAAATATTTTTTGGGTGGTCAATCTGATAACAAAGAAGATAAAAGAAAAATGAACAATTGGGACTACTTCAAATTAAAGTTTTTACACAGCACAAAATAAATATACAAATAGGCATCCTACTGAAAGCGAAGAAATATCCATACATTACATAATTGAGAAGGGGTCAATCAAGACACATGGAAAAATGCTCGTCATTGTATTTAATAAGGGAGGTACAGGTCAAAACTACCATGAGGTATCATCTTACAAACATGCAAATATATGCATTAAAGAGTCCTAACACCTAATACTAGAAGAGGACGGGGAAGAAAAGGAATTTTATCACATTGTTGGTAAGAAATGTAAATTGTTTCTGTCATTTTGGAAAGTGATCTGGATTTATCTTTAAACAAAGTAAAATAGAAATACTAAATAGTCCAGCAATTTACTCTTGGACATCTATCCAACAGGAACCCACCAACTTAAAAAGCAGAGGCCTACAATGTTGACTGAAGCATTATTTACAACAGCGGAGACACGAAGAAACAACATAAGTACTCAATAATATAGGACTGGGAATACTAGTCATAAGGAGAGATAAAATGTTGCTACTTAGAGCAAAATGGAAGGAGTTTGAGAGAATGATGTGTAGTAAAGGAAGTCAAAATGACAAAGTACTGAATGTTTACATAGTAGACAATTTGACAAAGTAAAATAGTAAAAAACAAAAACAAAAACAAAAACAAAACCTGGCCAACAGAACAAATGAGGTGAGGCTTCTGATGTTAAGAAGGAAGGATGAGAAAAGAGGCAGCAAAGAAATATTAAGGATTAACAGCGGGGGGGGGGGGGGGAAGTACATAAGAAAAAGAACATTAAACAAAGATCTGTGATTAGAAAGCTTAAAATATTTACCCTGTACATCTGGCCCTTTAATGAAAATACTTTGCTAAGCACAATCACCAATCAGTCACCTTCCAGAGCCTGAGAGCTCTGTCAGCTACTATTTATCAAAATGTGGTCTGGGGACCTGTCTCTGCCAGAAATATAGAAGTTGGGAGTTAGTTAGAAATATAGATGATCCATATTATCACCACCACCACTCCCCAAATCTAAGACTCTGAATCAGAATCTAATTCTGATCTCTAGGATATTCTTATGCACATAAAAATTTGAGAAGAGTCCAATGTATGTGGCTGTGGAAATTGCTAAATACTCAATACTGGGGACTTAAAGAAAATAAGTCCTCAGACTTATCATAGCTATATTGAGGCTTCTCTGCCTCATGGACTATCCAACACTTAAAACACACACAAAAAAGATATCCTTTGACTGTTAATGGAACAAGCAGAGTGATGACTTTATGTACTGCTAGAAAATTATATCTGAAATGAATACTGGGACGAAGCCAAGGACTGTTGTAGGTGGTGTCACCCCCACCACCCCACTCACGCTGGGGTTGTTGGTGAGGACAATAGCCTCAGATAAAATGCTAAAATGTATTGGATTTTGAGGAGGGGCTACCTTGGAGAGGAAATATAATTGATTGTAGAAGGGACCAGGGAGAGAGAGGTGGAGGCAGGTTGTCTTGTCTTCAGGATTCAAGATTTGAGTTCCTTCAGCATTTTGGGGGCCAGTGGATTTCAGTGCCCCTACCATGCCAATCTGCCGGAAGGCTGCTGCAGATTCATGAAGGTGAAGGCCTACAGTAGCCAGCCTTGGAGAGGAAGAGGCTTTACAAGTATCTGAGGGACTGA